TGTCTTAATCTTCTCTGTCCTATCTTATCCTCCTCTTTCCTCCTTATTTTATACCCCAGTCTTACTTTGGAGACAGGTTCTTACCATGTTGTCTAGATTGGCTTAGAACACCTGTGCATTATGGATTTTCTTGCCTCAGGCTCTTGAGTGCCTAGGTCTGCAAGTGTGTAACAACATGCCCTGCTTCCTAAACATTTTAAATTTCAACGGACTCATGACACTGATTTCTCCTTTTTTAAATATAAAGCCTTATTGGACATTATTGGTATTTCATCTTTCCTAACAGCTCCTCTAGAAACTGATGTATAAGATGGTGACACATTTTTTTTTTTGAGACAGGGTCTCAGTGTGTTGTTCAGATTGCCAATTTTCCTGCACCCAGGTTCTCTTCTCCTCAGTACTGCAAACACAGGTGGCAGGCACTATATCGGTCTTACATTTAGAAATTTGATCCCTGAATATTAGTTTCTATGATTTATGCATTGGTTACACCAACATCCTCATCTTTAAAAAACTACATGATTTTTTTTTCTGAGAGAGATTGAGCTTTTGCTCCTTTTCTTTTATGGATGATGGACAGACTCCTGTGTGTAATAATATTTTGTGTAAGTGGTATACTAGGCCATAATCTTTGATAGCACTTTAAGTGTAAAATAGGGATCAACACAAATGTTAAAATCTAGCTTGGACTATGCCATTAAAAGCAGATAATTCATTTGACATAAAAATAAGTTTAACTTTTCCATTCAAAGCTTAATTTGTACTGTGTGTTAAGTTATAACAAGTTACCCATCATAATGTACTTTTGACTGCTTTGAATTTCTTGAATTTAATTATAACATGGTCCTGAATTCAGAAATGCAAACACTAACTTTTTTCCTTCTGAAAGGTTTTTCCTCATATACTTGCCTTTTAGAACTGATTTCATATTCTATAATCTTTATGACCAAAACTCTCCAAATGCCACAATGATCAGGCATGGAGGTATGTGGTGAACTGAAGATCACACACTCTGCCAAATTACATTTCACATTCTGTTTTCAAGAAGATTGCATTTTGAAAAGGGAGGAATGGCAAAATTGCTCAGTGGTCAGATGTGTTTGCTGTCAAGCCAAAAGACCTGAGTTTGATACCTAGAACCCACATGGTGTAAGAAGAGAACTGGTTATTGCAAGTTGTATGTTGACTCCATGGTGTGTGCATGAACACACACACACACACACACACACACACACACACACACACAACATTTCAAGCAATTATAATCTCTGAGTTTAATTTAGTCTCTCTTTAACTTTCAAATTATGATAAAACTTTGTATCATCATCTCCACTGTCCCACGCCCCCAGAGACAGACACTCATTTTGTAGCTTAGGTTGGCGTGGAACTCACTATTGCTATTAACTGGTGGCAATCTTTTTGCCTTAGTCCTCCATTCTAATTGAGAGGAGTTTTTAAGGACAGCTGATATTAATTGATCCCAATCCTTAGGAGTTACCTTGTTATTCCTTGCCCATGATTCTATTAATTGCTTCACATAAGGTGAGTGTATGCCATAAGAGACTATTGCTTCCTTTATACCTTTTAAATCTTTCATACGTATTGGTTCCCATTGAACACCTTTTGGGTGTTTTTTCGTTGCTGGTTTTTTATTGATACAGGGAAAGCTCCCCTGACCCTAAATGGTGTGGAAAATTTTAAATCTTTTTCATGCCCTGTTACATGTAGTTTTTCTTTTGATGTATCAGATTGAAGGTCTTTTAAAGCCTGAAATCTATTTACCATTTTTTTTTTTTTTTTGAGTGTCTGAATTTCTTGAATCAAATAACTTTCTAGAGACTTTATTGCATCAGTCAGTTTCTTACTTTCTCCAACTACAAATGATTTCATGTTTTTTAATCTTTTCATCCTTAGATATTATCTGAATGGCATGTAAACTGTTTTCCAGAAACAATGTTCTATCTGCTAGCTTGCCATTATCCTCAGACATGGAAGAGATTTTATCATCTAGTCTTTCTATCTGACGTTCTAGTTTTTTAAACTTATTAGTAGCTTTCTCAGACCAGGAATGAGCTGTTTTTTGCTAGCGTGTTAATGCATTGCATTGTTTCTGTTCTGGTTATTGAGGTATCTGACATGAAACAAATTCTACCTGTCAGCTCTCCAACGCCATCTTCAATATTCTGAACCATTCTTTCTATATTTTTTATGCTTTGAATTTTATCATTTTCAATGTTTCAAATCCTTGTCTCTTTGTTTTGAATTCTATCATTTTCAATGTTTCAAATCCTTGTCTCTTTGTTTTGAATTCTATCATTTTCAATGTTTCGAATACTTGTCTCTATGCTTTGAATTCTATCATTTTCAATGTTTTGAATTCTAAGTCTCCTATGGTTTGTACAAGTTCCTTATTGTTTGTTGTGATCTCAACCATTTCTTTAAGAATATCATGTTAATGATGAAACCCATTGCTATTACAAAATAAAAGTACATATTGGTCCAGTCATAAGTTTCTTTTGCTAAAATCCCTTCTATATATGAATTAAAATAATTCCTAAAGTTCTGCATTGTAAAATTATCTGCCATAGTTATGGAACAATTGATCTCAGATTTTATATTAGCTTAAATTGTAAAGGATTTTACAATTACCTTAGGTGTGATTCTGCTGTCCTGGAACTTTGATGCTTTTAGTTGTAGATCTCAGCTTGTGGTAGTTATGCCTGGAGGTGTGCCACCAAATAGCGCCTAGCCGCCGAGGCCCATCTGATCCCGGTTCTGCCTAGAAGTGTACCGCCAAATATCGTCGGGCAGCAGATGATCCTTCTGATTCTGGTCCCTGTAGAATAGCTCTTAACAAACTATGGCAAGCAAAATTTTGTTAAAAGGAGACTTGTAGAATTGCTGGAACATAAGACAGGAAAACGCGCAAGCAGGGCGGGTGCCGAGCGGCTCTGTGAATGCAAAAAATGAGAAACGGTGAGTGCCTTCTCAGGTCTGCTTTGGCGGCAAAGATCTCCTTTGAGGTAAGGAAGAGGCAAATGTCCCAAAGCTGCAGTGAGTCCACCTGGTTAAACCCTGCCCATTGGTAGGGGAGGGGAGCGGCGTCTGCTGCCTGGGTGAAACCCAGGTCCCGTGAAAATCCTAATCCCACTTCTGACACCAGATATCACGGTTAAATAAGGATCTGGATAAACAAATAGGCCAATAGATGTTTATTTAGGGAGAAATAACTTACAACCTAGACAGATGAACACCAGGAAATTCAACCCAATGCTCTCCTGTCCGAGTCACGCCAGCAAGGGAGCTTTTCCCGGCTCTCTCTCAGACCTCCTTCCACAGGTCACTTCCGCCCATGGCTCCACCCCCCAATGGGCGTGGTCAGTGCCATAGAAGGACTATCTCACTACATTCCTGTTCCCTTAGTACATTGTAGGGGTGGAGTCAGGAGAATTACTGAGCCTTGTTGGCTGCCAGCCTAGCTCCAGGTTCAGTGACAGACCCTGTATCAAGTGGACTAAGCTGAGAAAAATAAAGCAGGATACCCGATGTCATTCTCTGTCCTCGAGAATACGCAGTCATGGGCAGTTGCACACATGTTTGCCCATATACTACATAAACAACAAAACCCATTAAAGAGACAAAGGGAATAATGAAGCTTTCAATGAGTCTGGCCCATGTTGAACTTGAAATCATAGAAATACTGTTCCACCAATTGTCCTCATATTTTGTGTCCTATATGAGCAGGTAACCATCTCATCAAGGATGATTTCAAAGGCTAAAGACACAAGCAATTCATGCCATGTGGTACAAAATAATACCTATTAAAGTGCTTTTCCAGAAGAGTCACTTACTTCAATGTGTGGGGAATGAGGGATTTATTTATTTATCTATTTATCTATCTATCTATCTATTTATTTATTTATTTATTTTTTAGGAGATGGTTTTCCAAAGTAGTTAAGGAATTTTTCTAGAATATTTTTGTCATGTCCCAAAGAAGCTCAGTGCTAATTGCATACAAAGTGTATACTGGCTCTAGGCTTTCTCAGCATTGCACAACCTGTTACAGAGTCCTAGCTTCTTTTAACACTTCTCACTCCTGCCCACCCTTAACCTCTTCAGGCCCTGAGCTTTGCTTCCCTTTCCCCAGCTTCTGATTTCTATATAACTCTGTCTTCAAAGTCACACAATCTCAATCTCTTTGTCCTTTTGTTTCCCTTGGTCCTCTCTTCTCTCTCTACTCTTGCTCTCTAACTCTTCCCCATGTCTCTTCTCTCATGGCCCAGTGCAGTCTACTGGCCATGTCTAGTGAGCTATTTTCCCTGCTCTGGACTCTTCCAGATGTCTCTGGCTGTACTCTCCTGCACATCTACAATAAAGACCTCCTTAACCATACCTTGGCGCTGTCAGGTCCTCGTGTTCTTTCAATTTTTTTGTTTTTACTGTCTTTGGTTTTTTAACCATAACCACTTTAGAATCCACTCCATTCTCCATCCACATTGCCATGTTAGAGCTAGATTATTTAGCTTCCTGGAGAAATAGTAGTTAGATTATCGCTGCTTTTAGTAGGCCCTTTTGAGTTATGTCAAGGCAAGCAATCAGTAAGACTAAGAGGATAATTTTATTCCAGAACCAAGATAGCTTTGTGACATTTTTAATGGGAAAAATAAACACATTTTGTTCATCCTGAAAGAAACAGTATTTTTTACCTCTGACATGCATTTCAAATCCTATTTTGAGATAAGCAAAATTGTATTTATTGTAGAGCTGAATTACTCTACTTATTACTTTAATATAGTTTCTTTGTTGTAATCAGAGGATGGTGAAAATCAAATTATCTTTACATAATATTATCTAGATTATATATATATGTCCTCTTAGCTGATGTATAGCATATCTTGGGAGAAACGATTTTTTCTTTAACAAAGATTGTACAGGGCATAGATTTGTTGATTTTAAGTTTGCTGATTTTTTTTCATAATTTCTAATTATGACTCCAACAGGTATTATCTTTTGATGCCTATTTGGAAGATGAAGTGCCTGATAAAAGGCAAGAAAACTATAGAATAAGATACTATAAAATCTATTTCTACCTTGAAGATGACACCATTCAAGTAAACGAACCAGAAGTGATAAATAGTGGACTGCCTCAAGGTATCTATTTAAAACAGCATTATGGTTCTTTTGTTTCTAACCCGTGCCTTTATATATAATTTGTCTTTAGCTTTTTGAAAGGCCCTATGCTAATAATTGGTCATCTCAGTTATACATAGCAGTGAATATAAACATGATGTTATCATGTAATTTGTAATAGTGAATTATCATATTTCTCTTACTAATAATTCAACATAGGCCATTTTCTCCTTTGCTTATAGTATGCTAATATGTCTTCAAATCATTTGGTTTCTTTGTCTTCACTGCATCACTTCACTACACCATCCAGAATGCTATTGCTTCTTCTTTTTGGGGAGAAAAGAAAGCATTTCTTCCCTGAAAATTGCAGGGTGCTATTTTTTCTTCTTTCTTGAATTTGCTGTCTGCCATTTGTGTCATCCTATCTCTCCTTATCTACTGCTAACTAACACTTTTTATGGTAATCATCATGACCTTGATATTTGTTTAACTGTGATAGTTATAGCATTGCTGTGACCAATTTCTGATAGGAACAACTTAAGGGAGGAGATAATCTATTTTGCTCATTGTTTTAAGTTCAGGATTGTGGGGCAGAGGGTAGGGAGCATAATGGAGCACCTGATCAGCAAGCAGAGTAGAAAAATAGCAGAGGCCAGGTCAAGATAAAACTGTCAATGACCTACTTCTTCAGGTAGACCTTATTTGCTAATGTTCTACATGCTCCAAACTGATCTACTCAAGTTTTGAATTCATTCATGGATTACTTCCTTCATTATAGTCTCAGTTATCCTATTTAATAGGTCAGCACTGTCCTAATGTAATCATTTTAGAAATGCTCTCACAGTTGTAAACATGTTTTTCTAGTTCCCTGATATTAATGAGTCCAATCAAATGGACAAGACTAACCACCACACTATCTCAACAGAGCCCTGTTCCTTCACCCTATGCATGCCTGTATCTTTATCTGTGTCCCACTTCTGTTGTAGATGAGTGTTAATCTTGTGGCCACAGAGAAGGTGATATTAGCGATAAAAGGAGGTGATATTTCTTTTTGTGCTGTGGTTCTTTCTCTGGGGGGCAAGAATGAAATCTGGATGCCATCAAAGGATAGAAATCATGGTGGGGGCAGGAAAGAGCAGTATAAAAGGATGTTTGCAATAGGAAGACTTAAGTGTCCTTGATAAATGTCTTTGATATCTAAGTGAATGTTTTCTTTAGATGTTGCTTTTCATCACCAGCATAGTAGGAATATAGACGGGGGGTTGAGTGTTTGGTGTTGGTGTAAATGGCTTTCTAGGGTCTCTTATTCTCTCAGGAGGCATGACTTTTGACTGCAGTAGTGTGTGTGTGTGTGTGTGTGTTGTCTTTTAGAGTATTGCCACCTGTGCTATTTCAGTCTTTGAAACTTCCCTCTCTGACTTCAATCTCTATCATTTTCCTTTCCCCATTTCCTCATACTTAACCTACTACCTTGTTCTTCATTCTCAGCATAACACTAGGTCCTTGCTCTTTACTGCTATTCAAACTCATTGTTTGATTATAGGAATGGGACATTGGCCTACCATGGACTCCCTGTTTACAATTCCATTTCACTCATTATCTGTTCTTTATATGGTATCTTAGATAGTACCTTGAAGTTGTGCTGGCCTCCAAGAAGTATATAGATAGACTCTCCTGTAGACCAAGAAAAAGAAGGTTCATAGGCCAAATTGAAATGAATGAACCATGTAATACATTAAAATAATTTCAAATGTATAGTGAGGGTTGGGGACATAGCTTAGGTATAAAGCCCTTGCCCAGAACATATAAGATCCTGGGTTCCATCTCCCACACTGCAAAATAAAACCAACTAACCAAACAGACTAACATTGGGCAAAAATGCAGTGAGTATCAGGGGAAAGACACTCTGGACCAAGTGTAAATTGAAGGAAAGTATACTCTGCCTGAATCCTGCCTGGGCTAGACAGTCCCTTCTACACTACACTTTATAAGTCTTATTAACAGGTAGTATGGTTTATGAACCAATATTGAGGGATAAACAAGGAGACTTACAGATAAGAAGAGCTTTGGGCCAAAGGTTCACACTTACTCAGATGGGTCAATATGGAAATGAATATGCTTGGCCACAGCTGGAGCTCACCAGTAGTCCTACTGAATAGTAATATCATTTGTGTTTCATGGGCAGAGTGCACTTGGGGCCAAAATGGATGTCAGCAATGAATGAGTGGCAGAATTAAGGTCTCATGAATATTGAGTAGTCATGAATATTTAGTGACTTGTATATTTAGTGTACATGAATATTTAGGGCCCAGGTGCATCATATATATTTAATATTTATGGGAAGTTCATTTAGTCTTTCCATCTTTCCTTTCTGTATTTAACACATACATTTCCTACTTACTACTTTATTGTTGTTATGTGTTATATTTTATTTTGTTGAATATGAATTTTGCTTAGTAACTACTTATTTAGTCCTAATGCCTCCATAGTGATTTATCATGATGAATTTAAAGAGGAAATTGGAGTGTGTGCAGGGGATTCTGAAAAAAGTCAAGGAGTGAATTTTTTAGGTTTTTCCCCCTGATAGTGTAACTTTATTGTATCTGCTTTATGGCATGATGAATTTAGAGCCTTTCATCCCTGCCAAGAAGTATTTGTTGACTACCTATCTTTGTAAAGTCTAATAATGGGGGCTCAACCAAGATGAAGTCTGTTGCTGTGATGAATTGGAGGTCATTACACCTTCAAAGGAATGTTTAGACATCCATATGATGATGGTAACCAGGCAGTTATAACCTTGGAGAGAAAAATAAAACCAAGACTAGAAACCTGTATTGAAAAACAGATACCCAGATCAGAACCAGAATCAGCCTGGTTCCTTTTTCTAAGGGTGAGCAGCTCCATTATTCTGCATCTCAGTTCCTGCACTAGCTATTCTCTGCCCAGTAGCAATGCTTGTGTAGTAAATCTTTTAAGAAATACACAGCTATATTAAAAAAATTTTTAAAAGTGCAGTCAGTGGTGCTGCATGTCTTTAATCCTGGCACTCAGGAGACAGATGCAAGCGAATCTCTGTGAGTTCAAGGCCATCCAGAACTGTTACACAGAGAAACCCTGTCTTGAAAAAACTAATAAAGAAAAAAGAAAGAAAGATTTAAAAATATTTTACAAGCTTCAAGGGTAAAAATGGGACATTTTATTTTGTGAAGAGACAGTTTTAGACTCTTGGGAATATTTTTTTTTCAAATGTAAAGAAATTTTTAAAAATCAGCAAGGCGGGGTGTAGTGATTCACACATTTCATCCTAGCACTCAGAACACAGAGGCAGGAGGATTTCTGTGAGTTCAAGGACATCCTGACTTGTAGAGACAACCAAGACTCTGTAGAGAGGCCTTGTCTCAAAGAAAGGGAATTAGGAAGGAAGGAAGGAATAACAGACTAACCATAGCAACAAAACAATCAGCAAATATATATTAGGGATGGTTAGAATAGTGAACATAAAGAGAAAATTACAACTTTTGTGACCACATGTTACTTTAGTATTAGTTGATTAGGTATGTGGATTTATTTTTATTTGTATTAGTGTTTGCCTACATGTATATATGTGTACTACATGTATGCCTGGAGCCTGTGTAGCCCAAAAAAGACATTGAATCCCTTGGAATTGGAATTGCAGACAGTTGTGAGCTGCCATGTGAGAGCTGGGAAGTGAATTTGTGTCCTCTGCAATAGCATGAAGTGCTTTTAACTGCTGAGCTTTCTCTGGCTCCTAAAATATTCTTTCTTCTGTGCTTTTCCTTATGTATTTTGCTCTGGTGCTCTCTAATGTAGCTTTGTTTACTTTTGGATTACCTTTCCTATTGTGACACCCAGTTTGCACAATGGGGGGCTAGAGATCACAAGATTTCCCAAACTTGCATTATTTGCTTGCACGGTTTGATTTTATTATCACTTGTGCATGTGTACAGACATATTTGCTTGTGGAGTGAGGACACGAATCTACTCCAGGTTCTTATTTGAATGCTTTTCTCATCTTTTATTATCTTTTTTGAAATAGGGTATATGTAGGTTTGGTCTGGAAGTTGGTGGTCTTGAACTCACAGGATCCTCCTGAGTCTTGGGATTAAAGATGTATGATACCATGCCTGGCCACCTTACTTTTTGATACAGGGTCTCTAATTGAACCTGGAGCTCACTGATTCATGTAGGCTAGTTGGCCTGGAAGCCCCAGGGATCTTTCTGTCATCACCTCTATAGCTCGGGGATCTAGACATGTGCTACTATGCCCAGTTTTGTTTTGTTTTGAATGTTGTTGCTAAGGATTAGAACTTGGGTCCTCAGGCTTGCATGACAAGACTTAGTTACTGAGCCATCTCTGCACTCTGCTCTTACTAGTTTTAGATGAAAACTTACATTCTTGAAGTTTAATGGCTCTTGTTTTTATTTCATGAAACAATCCAAGAACTGTCAAATGCAACCTCTATAAGGATTTTCCAAAAAGTACTGTTTTCTTGGTTTATTTATTTCAAAGCTCACAAAAGCAGATTCTCATGCTGAGTTATGATTCACTTGAAAATTATTTTTATTTGGGGAGGAAGGAATCTTATTCTTAAAGACTTGGGGAAAGAACCCTGAGCAAAAGACTGTTTTAATATTTCTGAAAATTTCAATATTTCTGATTGGTTTATAGTGGTTAGGGCATTTTGTTTGTGAAGATGCAGCTCAGAGGTTGTGGACAGCATACACAGTAATCACAGTGTTTAATGTCATTGAATTTGTCAACAGAGTGGAGAAACCTGGTGGGCTGTAACAAATCCTGTCAAAAGCAAGCACAAACAACCACCATCAGGCTCTGTTTACAAAGTGACCCATTTCTTTTGAAATATTTAACATGATTGTCATTAAGGAGGGTCTTCTTAGGGAGTGAGTAATTTGGAAACTTATTTAAATGCATTCTTCAGGTTTTCCTAAGTAATCTAGGAAAAGAAAGTGGACTTGATGAACTAATGGTTTGGAGCAGGTAGTCTTTGTGGCTTGAGTAGCCTGCTCCTGCCTTTCATGCATCTGCGAGTCTTGGGGAAGAAGAGGGTTGGGGTCAGTTTTAGGTGTTATGCACTGATTGTGTTCCTGTTTGCTCTACAGGGTTTTGATATTTTTCCAATTTACTGAAAGACCAATATTCCTTGTAGATCTTACATTTCAGTAAGAATGGGAGGTGGTATACAATACTTGTTACACAAGCAGGTATCATTAGTGGTACCAGATTCTTGAGGGAACAGAAGTGGGAAAGTCAGGAGCCACTTAGGAACTTAGAATCTGGGTGGTTCCTCAAAAATGTCCCCAGTTTAAGGTAGAAGAGAAAGAAAGCACAGTTTAGAGGGATAGCATGAAATGAATATGTAAAGCAGTGGGACAAGAAGTTGCGATGTATTTGGGAATAGATAATAGAATGTGTAGTGAAAACTAGGCACAAAGGTAGCAAGTCAAGAGGATGCCCCAGAATTGCCAGGCTATATTTTTGTATTGATAAAGTGGTTTATGGGGACTTGCATATGTTTCTTAACTTATTTCTCATTCTGTTCAAAGATGAGGGATATTTAGCATTTTGTTCATCCATTGAGTGTCAGATTATCAGTATATGAAAATGTTGATCTTGTAATACTCATACTCCAAAGGTGACATTTTAAAGAAATAACAGTAAAACTGGAAGAGTCCCTTTAGTGGATGAACAAAGTGAACACAAGAGAAAGGAATGATGCTCTGCCATAATCTGATCATTGGATATAAATTTAGTAGACACACTGATAAGGACAATTTTACTTTTATATTATTTCATTTAAATATTCTCTTGTTCACTCTAGGTATGCAATGCTACTGAAATAAAGTAGATATACTTACAATAGTGATTGGAGTAAATGTGAGACATTTAATTCTGAAAGATGAATTCAACAAAGCTAAATTTAATGTTATCAGCAAAATTTAAGGCAGATCCTAACTGAATGACATGGAAATGTGTTAAGTATAAATGGATATATGGCCACTTTGATCTCTACCACAGGGAACTGTTAGAAAGTTAAAGCTTGCATAGTGTAGTCAGATAGCAGGGCAATAGTTTTTAAAATATTAAAAGGGAGAAAGATGAGGACAAACTGGAAGGCAAGTACTTGATGCCTGGATATATGTTCCAGCTAGCTTTATGGGACAGCTGAGAATATAAATACCTGAACAGTTAAAGGACAGACATCATGCTTTCATTTCTTCTTTTGTGTGTGTGTGTGTATGTGACATTTTTATTTATTTACCTTAATGACTTCAACAGCTCTTCTGTGTGTGCCAAAGATATGCCATTCTGCACATTTCTTTGGTTTTCTAGAGAAAGCTCCTACTGGTAGAGTCTTGGCCATTTATCATATAAAAACTATAAACGTGCAAATCCCAATAAATAGTTGTCATAATCCCTAGAGGATACAGTTGAGATATCACAGAAATATATGACTGAGAGCTCTCACCTGCAGGCACACATTTTAAATAGTCCACCTTGGGTTTCTGATTTCATGCAGTATTATGTAGTTAGCCTTTTCTGTTAGTAAATTTTCCTGGTTTGTTAATAGACCTGCTTTCTGCTTCTAGTCCATAAATCATCAAGATCGTTTTCTGTTACTATTTTCCTGGTATTTTCCAAAGCATCTAATGGGGGATGAGATAAGGAAGCTGTGAGGTCTGAGATGCAGGTTCTGGAGGGGTGGAAATGCTGTGAGGAAGGGATTGTAGCAGTAGGCAGATGATTGATTCTGGAAATTTGTCCTTGTAAGCAGGACAGGCTGTTTTGAAAGAGCAGCTCCACCATCAGTTTCTCTTCTTTTCCTCATGGCCGTCATCTCTCTAGCCAATTTCAATTCAATTTTGCCTGTTGATCTTTCTATTTTCCTTCTCCTAAGGACTTTCTGGATGATGCACAGTGATATATATCTCAGTGAAACCTGCAAAGTAATGATGTTTTGTTAGTCCGAAATCTAAAGTTCAAAATGACTTTCTTTCATTTGTTAGGGTAAAACATTGGGCCAGACACTTAAGCATTTTTAGCTTTAGTTTCCCTTCTATGAAGTGAACATTGATGCCTTGTCTGTCTCAGATATTATGAAGGATTAGATGAGAAACTACCAATGAAAATCTGTTCTAGGGCTATGATGGTGATTGTGTTTACTATTATTAGATGCACTGTAGTCTACTTCTTCATACCTTGAAAGTGATACAATTCCTATTTAGAGTCTTACTAATGAAAAACATAACTTTGAATTCTTATAATGAAGTGCAAATTGTAAGTGTATGAATTACTTCTTTATTGCTGAAATAAAAACAAGGCAGCTACAGAAGAAAAGTCTATTTGAGCTTACAGTTCCAGAGAGTTAGAGTTCATGATGGTGAGTGAAGGCAAGGCAGCAGAAAGGAAGCTGAGGGTTCACATTTTGAACAGCATAGCACAAAGCTGAAGTAACTCAAAGCCCACTTCCAGTAACATACTTCCTCTAACAAGGCCACACTTCCAAAAGCTAGAAAATAGTGTCATCAGTTGGGGGGACAAGTATTCAAATGCCCAAGACTGTGGGGGACATTTATCATTGAAGTTATCACAGTATAGATGGACATTTTGAACTTGTATATAGTGCATTTATGCATGCATGTGAGCGTGTGGAGGTGAAGTCAAGGCCAGCTGTCTTCCCTGATCTCTTTCTGTTGGCTCTCTCACTGAACCCACAGCTCACAGATTTGGTCTAATCTAGCTAGCTTACCCTGTATATGCCATCTTGAATGCCACTCCTGCCAGCCATTTATGTAGGTTCTGGGATCCAGACTCTGTTCCTTACATTTGTTGAACAAGTGCTTTATCCCGTGAACCATTTCCCTAGTTCCATAGATGACAGTTTTGAAGAAGCTCCAGATTGTTGAATATTTAATAACCTGCCACAATGCAAGTATTTTTAAAGAGATATATAATAATTCCTGGAAATATCTGAAATGCCCATCCATTTATAGATTTTAAGTATGCGATTTGTTCTAAATGTCTAATCTTGAATGATTAAATAATTTGCATACTTTTTTCAATGGCATGAATTAAACGCTAATTAAGTATAATTCCTTACAGTAAAATTATATCATCTTTTATGTAATACATTTAAAAATAGTCTATGCCAGTTCTAATTTTATAGTTTTATTATTTTAATTTAATGTACCAAGTAATTAAAAATTTCTATGAAGAAAAGGTGAAATGATTTTACTTAATTTCTCCTCAACAAACTGAAAAGGTAAGTGGAGTAATGGTACAGTGCCCAACACATTTCCTGGCACATAAAGATTCTTCATTAACTGTTCTTTAATGAACAAGAATAAATAAGTTGTAAGTATCTCTAGACTTCGAGAAAAGGCAATATTCTCAATGCTATATACAATGCAAACAAGGTAAGCTGATGTCTTTATACTAACATGCTTCCATACTGAGGTCACACAAGCCATATGCTACTGGGTCACTAGCAACTTGGTGTGCTCTGCTTCTTTATTCCTTTGTTCTGTGGGTAAATTCTCAGGTCTAAGACAGTTATACATGTTGAGAGACAACTGCACGAGGAGCTTCCATTTTCATATATCTTGATATGCTGCTCTTTTCTTGGAGCTTAGTCTTCAAGGCTGTTTATTTACATAAACTGCTTCGAAAAGACAAAGCTGGCCTTGCTTTCTAGTGAAGGTTGGCTTGTAGCCTTGGAAGATAGAGGCAGTGCCTCCCTGAAGCACACAGGGCAGACACAGTTATTGTTCAGTGTAGTAAGACTAAACTGCTCATGAAGGTTTAGGTTTCCTAAAGTCAAGGTTCCTCTCTTGTGCTACGTGTGTCTGCAGGTGTTATCTCATCCTCATTCTATCCCCCAAGGGCACTTGGAAACTGGAACTTAGGGAACTGGCTCAAAAATGCATGATCATGTTTACTGCTGTTCTATTGCACAATGAACTGTCCCTTTGTCTCTAGCAGGAAGAGAATGAGCAACGTAGGGTGGTTTGTGGAAGATATGATGAAATCAAGAACCCATGACCCAGAGTACTGGCTGAAACTGTGAAGTCATTAGTAGTCCACATTTGATGGAGGTAGTTGGGTGGAGATAGGCAGAGGTAATGGAGGAAGAAAGAATAAGGTTCTAGATGAAAGGGATTCTATGACGTTTCCAAGCAGCATGCAGTCATTCATGCTTATTGAAGCTGTAAACCATAGTTTTGGCACATATAAACTAAAGCTTGTTAGTTTGTTTACTATTTATTGGCTTTTTGAGCCAAACATATGCCTTTTTATGAGCACTTTACTTTTTGGCTTTAATGCCTTATTAACTCATGGAGTTCTATTTAGCCTGAAAGCAAGCCTGTTTATGGTAGGAAAGGTACATGACAGAGTGGCCTTTTTGCTCACTGTGCTAACTCCATCCCTCTTTTATATCCATTCCTGTCTTCTGCTCTTTATGCTTTATAGAATTACTCCCCCAACAACACATAGGAAACTCAGATGTTGTTATCAGGCTGGTTGGGGAACTCTGGATCTAAGAAATCTTGGTCCCCTTTTATTTGACTTTGAATTATAATGCTGCCTCCTATATATGCCTATAAATGTCCCTTGCCCACTATCCTGCTGCAGGGAATCATGGAAGGGTTGTTGCAGAGATAAGCCGGAACTTCCTTCTAGCCACATGGTTAAAAAAAAAAAAAAATCCTATTTTATTTTTTCCCCAGGCACTTCTATTAGGCGTCATCGAATTTCTCTCCCACCTCCTGATGATTATCAGTTTTATACTGTGTATCACTTCAATATTAACGTAGATGTTGTGTTCTATGGGCGCACATTCAAGATTTATGACTGCGATAAATTCACAAAAAACTTTTTGAAGAAAATAGGAATCAAACTGAATCCTCCAGTACCACGTCCGGTAGATCCCTACATGAAGATGCGGAGAGAGGTGAGATTTCATACATCTGTGACTTTTTGTCTTCAGAGAATTAGTAAAGGCACTTGTGCTGCAGATTCAGAAGAGCAAGTCTTGTTCTTTGGCTAGAAAGGAAAATGGGATGGTGGCTGCAGAACAAGAATGACCCCCTCACCTCCCTCTTTGATGACTCCCTTCACTCTCACCCCCAGTTCTTTATGGGGAGCCTCCTTTCTAGATACAGCAGTATTCAGTGAGCTAATTAGGTGAGATAGTAGTGTCTCAGAGCCCATATTTAGTTTTGTAGTCACCAATGGTATGTGAGTTGAACCCACATTTTTTCTGCTTGTGTTTTCTAGTTTTAGTTGCCTATCTTTGGCTGGGAAAAAATCTTTCTTCTGAGCTATTGATTAATTAAACCAAACCTTGACCATTTTCTTCCTTCTTGGAACTCTGTGAGATTGGTTGCTGAAATTTTCTCAAAGAGTGAAGTAGCCATGATTTTTCTTTCTCCCATTTATGAAATATGATTGCACTTAAAATCTGATCCCATTGTAAGGAGCAAAGAGTCAGTGTTATTATTGTGCAGTTTAAAAAACTCATCCCTTGACTCTAGTTTTCTGTTTCCCAAAAGGGTCTGCATACCTAGAAGGCTCCGAATACACAAAAGAAGTGTCATTGGCTAGGTCACATACCTAACCAGGCTCCTTGTTCAGACTAGAATGTAAATCCCTGGATTCTTACCTTGATTTTCATTATTGTGTTCATTATTGTCATTTGTTGTGTTCTTGTCTTCTTTTATTTGTTCATTTATAGATTTTTGAGATAGGTTATCACTATAATAGCACAAACTAGTATTGAATTCACTGTGTAACTCAGGCTGACCTTGATCTTACTGTACTCCTGATTTTTAAATGCTGGGATTTACAGATGTGTACTACCTTACTATTTTCTTTATTGTTATATGACTACACGTGGCCAAATATCAAGACATTAAATATATTTTGGAATGAGTCTTAACTTGTATCCAAACTATGATGTTGAGCAGTTCCTTACCCTGTCCTTCCAGAAAAATCTCATGGTTTTTTTCTAATCAGTCCTTCTCTCCACTCAAGGATAACTAATGTTCTCATTGCTGTGTCCATTAGTTTCTTCTTATTTTTGTTATTTTCAGACATTATAATTCATTTCCTTTCAGAATAACAGATTTTTTAATGGAATTGTCCTTTGAGTCTGGTTTTATCTCACATTAAAAACTATGTATAGGAACCATCCCCCTGTACCTGCCTCTTTGCCTCAGCAGAATTATTCTTTGCTGTTGTAGGCATACAAGTTTCCTGTGAAGTATATGTATTATTAATCCTGGAATATCTAACGTAAAATGACTTTGAACCACCGTAAAAGGAGATTTTTTAGCTTTGGACTCATTTTTTACATCTTTCATATGTCCTGGATGATAAATACAAAGTCCTTAAAAGTCCCAAAGAGAATCTGAAGGAAAAAATCCATAGAGTTACTGCTCCTTGCATATGGCTGTATGCATGCACTAACAGTTATTATTATATGGTAGTGATTGTGAATGATGGTGTATTATATGAACTTCATAGAATAATCTCAGATTTTTATAGCTTTCTAAAGTAGAAAAGTTTGTGCCAGGAATTGGAAATAAAACAAGGACAACAAATGTTTTAAACAATTGCCTTTAAGATATTTTCAAATCAGTTTAGCATCCCATTAGGGCAAAGAAAACTCATCAATAAATATAGGAATCTAGGAAAATTAAGTTTAATAAGAGGCTTTTACATAGAATTTTATGATTTAGATTTAGTTCTTAAGTGTTTGCTAACTTGATATGTAAAGTTAAACTACTTTGCTTAGAATGAACAGGATGTTAATGGTATATCATCACTAATGTATTTCTTAGCAGTCTTATGCATTAAAAGCATTTGAATTAATGAAAACAGAGGTCATGGAAATTCTCCATTTGCTTTGCTCCTATTTCTACCAGGCTTATACTTTTTGGATATCTGAAGCTTTTTGAGCAAAATTAAACCATAAATATTTCTTCCTCTTTGCAAAAATATAAACAAGTTAGAAACACACACACACACACACAAACACACACACAGGATTTATAATGAAAAGGCACACACACACACAGGATTTATAATGAAAAGGCACATTTTAAAAATTAAAACATTATCAGTTTAGGATTGGGCATACAGATCTCAAATCATTGCAAGTCAGTGATATGGAAAATGTGTATGACAAAGTAACCCATATGAAAATTTTACAATGTAAAATATTTGGGGTTGTGGGTGCAGCTTGCTAGTAGAACATTTCTCCAGCTTGTGTAAGACTCTGGGTTCAGTCATTAGCATGGCCAAAAAGAAAAGATGCATACTATTTTCCATGACCTTAAAATATTCCTTTGTGCCCCTTTCTGGTCAAATTCCCTGATGTTACCCTTTTTTGGTTGTAGCTCCTACAGAGAAACAATTACTGTTCTGATTTCTGTCACCATACACTGGGTTTGTCCATACCTAGTAAAGTTCTAAGGCTTTGAGAAAAATCAACTTCAAACACATTCCAGAAATATAGTTTAGTATGTTAAAATAATGTTTAACAAAATAAGAAAAGCTTTCTAAAGTTTACCTGTATTCTTAAGGTTAAAACTGACTGTGAAGTCATATATCTGTATGCCTGGATCCATCTGTACATCATACTATTATTTAGTTGAAATCTCTTAAAAGGTATGATAGAACAATCTACAGAAAAATATCTTCATATTAATTGATTGATTGCCTACCAGGAATGATTACATAAAGACTACAATATTTCTAACACTTTTCTCCATTTGCAGACATTAGAGTTTGTGGATCCCTTCCGTCCCTATCAGTCCTTTGACACCCTGAAACGGTTCCTCCAGTATGATGGAAAGGTTTTGCGTTTCTTCTGCCTGTGGGATGACTCACCCTCACTATTTGGAGACCGTAGAGAATTTGTTCTGCATTACTTCTTGTCTGATGATACGATTGAAATCAGAGAATTGTTGCCCCTTAATTCAGGCCGGGATGCTATGTCATCCTTCCTTCGAAGGAGTAAGCTGCCCAAGGTAAGCAGTTTGAGTATGTTTGTGGGCCAAGAAACTTAAGTCATTGTTTGGAATGCTGTGTGATGGCTCTGTGATGACAGTTCCTGTATGCTACTTGACTAAGTTAGGGTTTCTGCTTCTGTGCTAAAAATCCATGACCAAAAGCAACTTGTGGGGGAAGGAGCTTTTTTCCAGCTTACAGTTCCACATCATATAGTCCATCACTGAGAGAAGTCAGGGCACGGATTGATTAAGGGCAGGTACCTGGAGGCAGGAGCTGATGCAGAAATCATGCAGGAGTGCTGTTTGTTCATCTGCTTTTTGTGGCTGGCTCACATACCCAGAGGTGGCACTGCTCACAGTGAGCTGGGCCCTCCCACATCAATCATCAGTGAAGAAAATGCCCACAGACCCATTCGATGGAGGCATTTTCTTAATTGAGATTTCTTCTCAGATGATCTCTAGCTTGTGCCAAGTTGACAAAAACAAACAAACAAACACAACCCCCCCAGGCAGGAAAAACTAGCCATCACAATTATGGCAAGGAAAGGAATATATGAAGTGAAAAAAACCTATTTTTTGTTGAATTCACAACAATCAGTATTATGAAATATGGGACTCTCTTGAAGTTAATTGACTGGCTTTTGAGTGGGACACTGCTGTTTGATTCCTGCATCCTACAAAGGAGACCCCATGGTATTGTGGTATTGATTGGGGTGTGAATGCATACATGCACATACACATATATACCCAAACATGCACCCATATGCAAAGGAGTAAATCATAATTCGAAGTATAGTGACTATTTACACCACCAAAGCAATGACATTAGCAGATTCTTTACTATGACAAAGATTTGGCAGGTTTGTTTCTACAACCACTTGAGACGGAAGGGAACTGACACAGCAGGAATGATGCAGAGACAGACCTGGACTAGAATTGTGAATTTGGCTTTTGATAGCCATATGAGCATGGGCAAGCCACTTACCCTCTTTAAACACATATTTCCACATCTTTAAAATGCAGTAAACAGAGCTTCCATAACTAGAGGCTTAAATGAGATGATAAATTAAGAGCCACTATCTGAGGGCCCATTTATTTTTATTTTTTTCCTTTACCTTTTTATTTATAGGATTTTTGAGTTTTTACAAAAATTGAGAGGGTAACATGCTGAGCACAGGTCTATTCGAAATGTTCTACCAGTTAGCATTTGGTTCCATTCAGAGTGGAGGGTAATAAAGTGGGTCAAGTAGCCTTTGTTTGTGGTATTTGCTAATTTCTGGATATTGACACTCTCCCCATGAAGACTTCAACCTAGCAAGAGTTTCACTAATGGCCTGTGAATTTCCTAAATATTTATCTGCTCACAGAGCTGGAGGAAGTGAACTCTATCTAGCCCATCACATTTTTTTCTGAACTGTTTTAAATACCTTGTAGATATCATGGAACTAAACCAAGTCCTTCATCCAGTGTGCATGTAGTAAGATTAAGGTCATTCTTTAACAAATCACTTCATTATGGGCTTAAGGAAGAAAAGCTATATATTTCCTAATACGGTCTAATATACATTTCTCACTAAAATTTTCCATCTGCCCCACAAATGTCTATTTTTTTCTTTTTTAATTTTTTAAGATTTATTTTATATAACAAAGTCCATTTAAATGAAAACAAACATTTAAAGACAATATATGGGAATTTGGGTGTCGTTCTTTCCAAACTAATTCCTGCTGGTAAGGGGCGCTGTCATGGGGGATTCGAAGAAGATTCAGAAATCCTGGCTGTAGTCTGTAAGGCTGCTTTGTCCAGCTGTTTTGAATGTAGGATCACCTGGTACTCTGTTTCAGGCGGTCTGGCTTGATCAAACCACATTAGTCTGGAAGGAATCCACATCTTTTCATTTTCTGTGGAAACAAAAATAGAAATCCTTTTCCCCAGTAACTTGTCCTTCAACTTAAATTTTGGAGTCAAAGCTTTTTTTTTAATTTATTATTTTACATGCCGATCCCAGTTCCCTCTCCCTCCCTCTCTCCCTCCTTCCCTCCCTCCTTCCCTCCCTTTTACCCTCTCTGCCCTCTCACATGCACTCTAACCACCCTCCCCTCCCATCCCCCCACCTCAATTCCATATGTAGGGGAATGCCATCCAGTTGGGGTCATGTAGATCTGACAGGTCATGTGAAGTAGGGACTAGGGCTTCTCTCCTGTCTCTAGATTAAGGCAGTTATCCCTCCATGGGGGATGTGTTCGCAAAGTCATTTTGTGCACCAGGGATACATCCTGGCTCCACTGTCTGATGTCCCTTAGACTGCTCAGTCCTTCTGCTGAGACCCATATTTGGGGGGCCTGAGTCAGTCCCATGGTGGCTTCCCAGCTATCAGTCTAGTGGCCGTTAGCTCCTCCTTGTTCAGGTAAGCTGTCTGTATGTGTTTCGGCTGCCTGGTCTTGTCCTCTCCATCTGCATCTGGGTTCTAGTTTGACTCAGTGTTTATGTATGGGTGTTTGATCCTGTTTCCAACAGGCATTAGTTGAGGGCTCCATGGATAAGTTAGTTGTTGATCTCACTCTCTAGGAAGGGCATTTATGATAGCCTTTCCACGGAAGCTCAAATTGTTAGTTGGAAGCAGTCTTGTAGTTCTCTAGATCTTTCTTTGTGTTCAATTTTATCTTCAAACCAATAATGGCTCCCTCTTTTATGTTCTCTCTCTCTCTCTGTCTCTTTCTCTCTCTCTTTCCTGACTTCTATTCCTAACCAGGCTCAATCTTCCTGGTCGCACATGTTTTCCTTTCCTCCCCCTCATTTTCACCTACTTCTCTCTCCATTCGCTGCCCCCCCCCCACTTCCCCTGAGCTCTGGGGGACTTGTCCCTTCCCAGTTCTGTGAGGGACTTTATATGAATCTCTTAGAATACACCTTGTATCCTAGTTCCTCTGGTGGTGTGAATTATCACTCCTGACCCGGGGAGGTAGTGAGGAAAAATAACAATACAGGACTCTTTCAAGGCCCTGTAATTGGAATGAGGGCCCATTTATTAAAACCTATCAGGTCCCAGAGAACCGAAGTTAGTTTTCATAGGTCTTTGTTGTATTTTATTTCTAATTTGGATAAACTATTTAAACTTCATTCTTACTGTTTCTGAAAAGGTTACCAGGATGGCTCATTTCTTATGCAAACAACCGCTGGCCATTCAATTCTCACAGGAGGCTCCCCCAGATTCTCTGTGCCTACTGCCAGAAGTCCTGCTGTGTTGCTTCAAGTATGGGAGAAGGTAGAATTTGTCCCCCAGGGAGCTCTAGAATATGCACAGCAGGCCCCCAGGAGGAGCCAGGAAAATCTGTTTTTAGAATGTCTTTGAAAAAATAGGTTAAATATGAACTAATGAAACACCTGACATTTGCCATCAGTAGCTTCATTTTATTTACTTATTCAACAAATATATCGAATCCTGGGCTATAATGAAAAAAAAATGGCTCATGTCCTACTTGGTCAAATATAGATTCTCACTGGAGTATGATCTGGAAGGGATGGTGTGTAACCTGGACCCTCAAAGCGAGGAGTATGTAATGTTGCTGAGGTGAGAGAGTTAAGAATCTGATGTTCTGAGAACAGTCTAGACTGCCAGCTGCACCCCATTTCCTGAGATCAGGATGGACAACTTGCTAGATAGAATGAAGAACGGTGTGGCAAGGAGCCAGTCATTCTTCCATGAGGATCTTTGCACTTAGGGAATAAAAAGTGTGACTGCCTTCATAACAGTTGGAGAAATATAGAAAAATATAGAAGGTAGCCTGAGCCCATGGTGTATATTTTGGTGAAATCTGGAAAGGGAACCAGACAATGGATTAGGGTTAGGGTTAGGGTAAGGGTTAGGGTGTGGGTTAGGGTTACGGCTCTCCATGTGTCTGGTAGTTCAATGGGGAAGTAAGCAGATAGCCACTTGCAGGATGGAAGGCTGGCTGGCATGTGCCTATAATCCTAGCAGGTGGGAGGTAGAAGAGGAAGATCAGGAGTCCAATGTCATCCTTGAAGTCATTCTGTTCTACTTGAGACCATGTCTCAAAAACAAAAACAACGAAACACATGAAATCCTATAGGATGGATGTGTTTGAGGGGAAAAAATGTATGTTTCTCAGGGTTGCGAAGGACATGTGGCAGCAGAACAAGAGTTGCATAGATAGCGTGGTTTCTTACAGATGTCAGAATAGAGCACGCAATGTTGATTTCTGGCATGTATCTTGGGACTGCACCATATCTGTGTCTGGAGACATGTACCAAGTTTGGGTTTTATCTTACAGTATGGCCCACCTGGAATCTTTCAACCAGGGCAGATAACAGACCGAGCAGTCCTCAATGTGTATGGGGGCTTGTCAGAATGGCGAGCAGATGGCTACCTCTTGGATAAATACCAGGTGAGGATTCTGTGGTTTTATTACTGATTCCTATGTGACTTCTGAGAAACCTGGATGTTGGGGTGAATTATATATTTTTGCCTTGTGAGCTAGTAATGAGATCAAGAAATGCATAAATATATGCATTGTATTGCCTTTTGTAAATAATAAGCATATTTATATGCATATAGAAATATATGCATTGCATTGCTTGTGCAAGCACTAGAGTATGAAAATAATGCTTAGATAGGCTGAGAAAATGGGAGTGGGGAAAATGCTTGCTGTAAAAATATAACGACCTAAGAATAATTCCCCCACCCGCGAACATAGGTAAATTCAAGCAGGTAATGTTCATCTTTAATCCCAGTCTCTTTGGAGTGATATGGGGAGCTGGGGAATCCTCAGCCAATTAAAGGCTAGCTGTTCTGGCATACACAGTGCCTAACAACAAAGAGATCCTGTCTCAAAGGAGATGGAAGGTGAGCATCAACACCCAAGGTGGTCCTCTGACTTCCATACATGATCTGTGGCATGTGTACAGCTATACTCAACACAAATCATACACATGAATGCATGCATACATATAAAACACATATCATACATATATACCCAAAAAAGATAAAAAAATAATTCTTAGAGTTGATTGGATTTTAAAATTTAGTTGTAAATAGCATAATTAAAGTTTTTTTTAATTTTTAAAGAAGTTATTTTCTTGGGAAAAAGGCATATAGTTCTTGGACAGATACATAGGGCCAATATTATTTTCCTCTGTTTTACCAGCTAGGAAAAGTAGAGCAAGAGTTTTACACAGACCGGGACCTGACTATAGGTGCCACCATCAATGTGTGGGGAAGAAAAGTCCTCCTCTGTGACTGTGATGAATTTACCAAGTCCTATTACAGGACAAAGTATGGAATTGGTAAGTGATAATTTCGCCAGGTAGAAAAAAATTTTAACACCTGGCTGCTTTATGCCCTACTTAAAATTTACTTTTGTAGTCATTGTCTCCATGTTAGAGGTGAAGAAAATGAGGCCCCTTAAGCTAAAGTTGGTCAAGGACTGCCAATCTTGTGTAGTGTTTCCACTGTGTAGTATTATGGATCTCCTGGGAATCTATATTCTGAGGGAAGATGCATAAAGTACACAAAGGAATTAAGAATGAAAAGGACTTCTAGTTTCCCTTTCAGGTTCATTAAGAGAATTTGTTCTACCACATCCCACATCTGTAAGCTAGATTCATGAACATGTCTGGGTCTGACAAGAGTCAACTTAGTGGCTGATCTTTCCCTTTCATTCTTAAAATTGGTTCTCTTTAGAGGATACATTTGAACATATTTACTTCAAGGATTATAAGGCAACCATCCAGGAAGTTTCTAGTGGTCTTTAAATCATCAGGGAAATGAATTTGCCCTTAATATAGATATCTATTTAGAATAAGTACATCTTCAATAAAGATTGAAAATTTGATGATGGCTGGCTCACTGAAAACCAGTACATACATCTACAGATTACCTTAACAGTTCCAAAATAGCATATGATTACCCAAACAGAGTTAATAATTTGATATTTCTCAGCTTGATTTTGAGAATATAGCATTTACATTACGGAAAATGAATGCTGTAGTGAAGGGCCTTGGTCACTCATCAGTATCTTTAGTAGCTTCTACAGGGAATTTTATGAGGTAGTGTGAATTCTCTGGTATGCCCCAAACCTAGCTGTTCTGGGTAAATATATTAGCTTCAAATGCCCTGTAGTCCATTCCAGTTGAATCTATCCTAGTGTTGAATTTCTTCTAATCATATCCTTTGTTACCTCTAGACTGTATTATGTGATATTGTAAAAATTGTACTTTTTGCCTTTAAAGTTAATACAACAACATATTTTGAGCAGAAAATTATGCAAATAACAAAATTAGAATACATTTCATAGTCACACCGACTTTTTAAGACTTCTCACAATATGTGAAAATGTTCTGTTTAACAAATAGTATTATGAAACATTTTTTGAGTTTTAATACCACAGTTAATGTTACAAATGACTGTAGCCTATAATCCATTGTTGGAGGTCACAGTATTGACTCCCATTCCTTCTTGACTGAAGGTCAGAGAATTCAAACCTATTCTTGCTTCCCAAGGTTAAATAACAGGATGTTTGATCAAAGGCGTGGCTACTTGATATTTTACTCTTCAAGATGAAAGAACAGGATGTTTGACCTGGGGCATGGTTACTACATGTTTTGAGAATTAAGGAGTAATTATGTTTGTTTGTTCCTTGTATCATAGTAAGGAAGTCGTTTTCCCTCCCCTTTTGCTTGTGGTATATAGGGCTATGAGTAATAAATATGAGTCTGCTGCAATATTCATTGAGAGCCCTCCCAACTCTTATCTTCCATCTTTTGTATTGTTTCTTTCTCAATATTCACTTCCATTTTCTGGCATGTTTGAACAGGTTGGCAGGTCCTGACAATCCATGGTGGAATGTGCACAAGTGGATTTATATTCTCTAATAATCTTTTCATTTCCTTTTACTGACTTTTGTGAAGTTAAATTAATATACTTTATATTACTTAAATGTAGTTATTTCTGGCATTTAAAAAATTAAAGGAATGATCTTTATTTTTCTTCATTAGTGACTGTGACATGTTGGTTAAAATATAAGGATGAAAAACTTCTCCATGTACTGTAACAGTTGATATAAACATTAACAAGCAATTTTAATGAACAGTGTTAATGTGATATTAAGGGTGATAATTTTGTTCATAATTTGTGTGGTCTTAAAAGTTGATAAGATGGAATTTTATAAATTATGTTTTTCTGTTACTAAAGACTAAACCAGAACAAAGTACCACCAGTAACTGTGGTTCTAGAAGAGGTTTTATGTCTCTGTCTCTCTGTCATCTGTGTGTGTGTGTCTCTCTCTCTCTTCCTGTTGGTGGATGCATGTGTGTATATGTAATGGCAAGAGATCAGTGTTAGGTATCTTCCTGAATGGCTCTCTACTTTAATTCTACTTTAATTTTGAGACATAGACCCTCACTGAATCTGGAGTTCATCAATTTTCATCAATTCTGCTAGACTGGCTAGCTAGTAAACCTCATCCCCCCTTCTCTCCATTGCCAGTATTGTAAACACATGCAGTCATGCTTTTTTTTTTTTTACATAGATGCTGGTTATAGAACTCAGGTATTCATGTTTGTGTAGCAGCTTTGCCAACTGAGCCATCTCCCCAGCCCTCAATGGCAATCTCTTACACACTATTCAGCCTTAGTACTTTAGATCCTTGTTTTATGTAGTAACAAAAAAAAAAAAAAAAAAAAAAAAAAAAGGGCAGAAGAAGTTGTTGGCTACAATCTAAGGGAGATGCATGGATGCATGGATATCTTTTCTATTTGTGGAGAAGTACAGGGATTGATAGATTTTCTGAAAGACATTTGAGGCTCTGTGAGAGAAGCAATCACATAGAAAAATGAGATCCTTCCATTCACTTTAGAATTCCAAAGAGATGGTCACTCCATAGATGTCTTACACAGTATTATCTACTGTAACTCCTGTGTCAACCAGTGTGGCCATCTTGCTGCTGGTGGCTTGCCTGTCAGGATGCAGTAGTTCACTCCCTCATTGTTGATGTGGACAAAAACAGATTGGTGGGTAGAGTCTGTTGGTCTTTCCTGTAGATTAAGATTTTAAAAGGTTCCAAGAGTTGTAGTTTGTCTTTCTTGGCACTAAAAAGACAAAGATTTGAATTTTAACTATTATTATCTAGGAATTTATGCCTTAGGTTATATATTAATATGATTTTCTCCACTTTTTACCCTCTTCTCTCTTCCCTTTACCCTCTTTCTTCTGTCTCCTTTCTTCTAAAACTGTCTTGCTGTGTAAACCTAGCTGACTTGGTACTCTATGCAAGTACTGACTTGATACCACTATGACAATCTTCCTGACTCATTCTTTCAAAACAGAAATTTATAGGCATATACCACTATGTCCAGTTTATAGGAATATTTTCTAATCATTGATTTTGGTGATTGGAAAAACCAAAGCAGTAACATAATCATTCATTCTCAATGGTTTTGAGTACTTATATTAAAATTAAAGTTGAAGACAATTTTCAATATCTTTCATCTTCTGTAATCAATTCTGGCCATCTCTGAACTCTCAGAATTAGAAGAAGGAGGACACGACAGAGGACAAGTCAGTGATCAATTGCGGAAACTGTAGAAGCAGAGCCAGAACTGGTTTATGGTTTTATCATGTGGCCTTGATGGACTTCCCAGTTTTACTTCTTTCACACCCTCTGTAGGGTTAGTAAGGATGGTTGAAGAATAGAATATTGAGTTCTGACTGTATAATTCACTAATTGTTTAGCCTAGGTATTGATTACAAGCAGAGTGAATTTCCTTTGAAGCTATGGAAAGTTGCTTACTTTTCAAAGTTCTTCCTTTAGAAGTTCCCTAGTCCAAAGCCTGGACCTAATTTTGTCTTAATAATCTGGCATTCTTTAGCTTGAAAAAGTTTTTCAAAATTATGTAAGTTTTAGATTTCATAAAGTCTAGCTCTGTGGGTTATTAGATCATACAAGATGAACTCTGAGGTACTTCTCCATAGATATTTCTACCTGAAATGACAAGTAGAACCATTGGACTCCATTTCTATACAAAATCTTTTTGAAGTTTGTTTGAGTCTAGTCAGTCATGGTTAGGCATTCAATTCATGTGTACAAGTCACTTGGAATTAGAAGAATCAATGTAATTGGAAGATGTGAGTGTTTCAGTGTCTATACAAATATCAGTTATAGAATATGCTGGGGAAGATGCTTTGTACAAAAGTTTGTGCCTTTTCATTTGCTCAATATTTCTGAATACCTGAAATAGGCAGGGTAGTTGGGGTGATGAAACCCAAATGGCAACCAACTTCTCACTCATGTATGATTCTGTGGTTTTGTGAACCTATGTGAGCTATCAGGGAGATGTGATTTAAAGTTGAATCTTGAGCCATAGTTTCCAAATCATGTCTATATGATGTTATAAAAGTCAGGGTGGTGAAGTGGAACAGTTATCATTTTTTATACACTAGATGGCACTGTGGGTGCAGAGGAAAGCCCTAAATTAGTTCATTTGTTGCTTAAATCTGTTGCAAAAAATTAGGTAGTTGAGAAAACACCACCATGTTTAAATACTTGTAATGAAGGCTATAAACTATATTCTTAATGACTGTGATGAAGAATCAAAAGTTTCAGGTTAGTGTGTAGTGTAATCTTTTGGTCAGTGTACTCTGACTAGTAGGTAGAGTTGTGTGTATATGCCCCCTGTTGGAAGAACTGCTCAGGCCCCAGTTTTCTAATTACATAAAGCTTTCCTGCCATTTCTATGGTGCTTGCCCTGGAACAAAGGTAGCAAACAGTGGTGTTTTTGATGTGATGGTGAGCAAGAACAGAGTCTAATGCAGCTCAGATTAGAAGATTTGTATTTTCCTCTTATTACCATGATGTCTGTTTAATCACAAAAGGAATGTTAGGAAAAGTTCATGAGACTCTAGGAGGACACACTGGTTGTTTCTTTTCACTGAGCTTGTGAGAAATATTTGATGGCAATTCCTTTGTCAACATGTCTCCTGTGATCTGTTTCTGTTAAGATGGAACAATACTCTTCTGGGGATTGTGCCTCAGGAAATCTCACACAAAGGCAGCTAGGAAATCTAAGAAAAGTTGAAAGCCTAAAAATGTTTTCAAATCAGAATTAGAAATGGCTTCTCACCCTTAGTCTTTTGATCAATTAAAAAATTCACTTACATTTTTTAGAATTAGGCTGCTTTAGATTTCAAAATGGTGTGTATTTTTCTAATGGTGGTGTGTACCACAGTTTGGATTCTTTCTTCTACTACAAATTTGATCATGAAAAAGGAAATATTTACATTTGTAGAACTCTTTTTATTTACAACTAAAACACCTATCAAGCTTGAGGAAGAAAGAAAAAAAAAGTAGTCTGTGTGTTTTAATTTACTTTTGGGAAATATTCTAGGACCTCCTTTGTCATTTGTAGTGGGTCAAACACAGGGACTTGGATAGATTTGGTCAATATGTTATTAGTTCTATAAAGTACACTTGTTTCTTAGAGATGACACAGTGCCATACGTGATTACCTAAGAACTTCTAGAGATATTGTAAGCTTTTCCCAATCTATCATTTCTTACATATGATAAGTAAAAAATATTATCAACAGTATTGACCACTTCACACTCCCTTTGAGAGTGTACACAATTGGGTGTCTTTAACTGTTTGGAGTTTTGCTTCATTACAACTATAGGTGCAATCTTATCTTGAGCAATAACATGAGTGGCTTGGAATGGTGGCTGGTGACAGGAAGGGGATTTTATTTTTCTGTTTGTTATTTAATAGATGGTGAAATACAATGTCTTAGAGTTGAATTGGAGGTGAGGAAGAGGGCTTAAAAGTGGATTCAAGGAGTAGGAGGTGGCCAATGGGTGAAGTTAAAAGGGAAGCAGTCAGGATTCAGACCTATTTGGAAAATAATTTTTATTAGTGAGTGTTGAGTGAAGATAGGAGAGGGCCAAATTTCGGGTTAAGATATGAAATTGATGGCATAGAGTTTCAAGTTTGAATTTTCATATCATTGGAAAAATCAAGGGAAGAGCAAAATAATATTCAGAAATAGGGGTGTGCAGTTATTTGACAAACATTTCTGGTTTTTTTCTTTTGAATCAATGACTATTAAGTGAACTCTGTAGTTTTTATAAACACGATTGAAACCTACTCTCATAGGATTTTACTGTGTTTTGTTTGAAAGAGTTCAAAATAGTCTACAAAATCTCCATGTTCATCTTGAAATGATAACAGACCTTTCAAAACAGCCATAATCAGAGCAAAAAAAATATTGATGTTTTGTTTGCCTGTGTTTTGTTATAGATGATTTTACCGCCATTTCATGCAAGCCTCCTCCTCTTCCAAAAATAGAAAGGAAATACCCACCTTATACTGGCTTTGGTTCTGAAGAGGATTCTTTCCGCTCCTGCGTGGGCCTAAAGCCCACACCTCATCGGAGAAACTTCAAAAAATTCATGGAACTAGACAGGTGCCCGAGGGGACCTCGATTATAGTCTTATCTTTCCCAAAGATGTTTGGAATTTATGACATAACTCTGTCACACTGCTCATTTGATTTTGAGCCCAGGGACATGGTATTGTAGCTTTCCAATGAGGTTGATGAATACATGGCTATTGACAGCCTCTTCCTTGAGTGTTTAATTTAATATGTTGTTTGGAGAACTGTAAAATCCTGTCATCTCCGGCCTGATGTCTTTCCATATCTGTCTGTCTTTCTCTCTCTTGAGGAAATAATGCAGAGTAGGAGTCAGCAGATTTCAGGGCTCAGAGAGTACATGGCTTTGGAATTGTGGGCCATGCAGTCTTCATCACAGACACTCAGATATGCCATTATAGTGTGAGTGCTACATGGACAGAATGTAAACACATTTGTATCTGTGTTCCTATAAAACATTTTATGGACATTGACATTTGAATTTCATAAAACTTTTATATAACACAATATATTAGTCTGATATATTAGTCTTTTCAACCATGTAAAAGTGTACAAACCACATTTAGCTCAAAGGCACACAAATGCAGGTGGCCAGCTGGTTTGCTAACCCTTGCTATAGTGATTTCAATGGTTTGTTAGTGTTTTCAACATGTAATTTTAGAAAATTCAAGTTGTTTTGACATGAGAGGTTTGGTTTGAGTTCACTAGGAATAGATTGCTTATATTGCTGAATATAATTTCAAAAGATAGATTTTTCAAAGTATCTCCACTATACAGGAGGCTCAGTCTGCTCCTGAATTGTTCATGTAGAATGTGAACACTGGTTATGCCACCTTTTGGTTCTTCAGGATGAGCAGGTCTTGGAGGAAAACTCTAGGGAAAAAAATGTGGGGAAATGTTGCAGATACTTGAATAGGATGAAAACTAAAATTTGTGGCTCTGTGTGAATGAAATAATGGGTTGGGAGAAAATGATGAAGGGAATGTGTGTTAAGACTTTAAGAAGAAAAAGTACCCTGAATTTGGTCCATTTGAATGAGGTCCCATGCTGTTTTCAGAACTTTGAAGGAAAGAGAACAAAATGTTATGCTATATCTGTAAAAATGGTTTAACTGGCTGTGAATTGTATGGAATGTGGGAAGGTATGCCTGTGCTGTGACATGATGTCATCTGTCTTTCAAGTAATCAATGTTTATTTTTAAGAACTATAGAGTTTTATTTAAATTTCAAATTCTCTGCTTCCTTCTCAATGTGTGGTTCCCATACTGGTAGAATGCTAATTCTTGTGCTTACTTGTGGATGTGGTGAGAAAGAAATGCTGGGGTGGGGCTCAGCCATCTCTTTTCACAGGCACCCTGGGGGATCCTAAGGCATCAGTGTTTGAGAATCAACTGATTTTTACACATAAGAGGGACACCAGCATGCCCACATTCTCTTGTTGGTAACAGCATTATGGCTAAATTCCAGGGTAGATTTTGATAGTCTCTTTTTCAGTAACTACTGTTTCTAAGGGCAGCCACCTGGAGGATATGGGCAAGAAGAATGTTCCTATTGTAAAAGAACAGGGAAGTTTTCTTATAACTAAATAATATGAAATATTATCCAGGGTGTTGCTTCTAAACACAGGAAAATAGTTCTTTGTGGATAGTTGAATTAGTTTCTCTGTCTCTCCTGTAAAATTTCCCTCAGGACTGACCCTAACTACAGATAGAATTGTACATGTGACTCATACTCTTGTGGGTTGGAGGATGAGGATATAGGCACAGATCTCTCTAATTTTATTTCTTTTTGTCCACTGCTTGTTTTGTGTCAGGAATATACTTACTTCAGGCTCCTCCTACACAGTGAACTTGTTTCTATGGTAACTGGTACAAACTGTCTGCATTAGACTGAAGTACTTTGTTCTTGTACCCACAATACTCTACTTATCATACTTCTAATAATAATAGTACTAGTGATAACAAGCAGTTGTTAACTCCTTTATAAAATCTGATTCCATCTATCCCTTAAAGCAGCCTTAGAAGAAAACAGATTCTATCCTTGCACCTATTTTTTCAAATGAGGAAAACAAGACTCTGCAACTTCTCCAAACTCACAGCTAATTTTTATTTGAATTAGGAAGTGAATCCAGGAAAATTTCACAGCTAGAGTTCACCTCCCTTACAACAGAATCTGTACTTATCAAATGATTTGGTGACTACTCACATATGTAATTTCTGGGCTTCCCTAGACTAAGAGTTCCTTGAAGAGACTGGTTTTATTGTTTACCTGAGAGTTAGAACAATGCTGGCAAATGTTTCATCCAGTAAGAAAAGGTGCAGTTGAATAAGTACAGTGATAGAAAAAAAGTTTGCTAATCCATATATATATATATATATATATATATATATATATATATATATAATTGTATATTGTGATATTGTGATATTGTGTAAATGTTTTGAGTGCATGCATGTATATCCACCACATACATGCTTGGTGATTCTGGAGGTCAGAGGAAGCCATCAGATCTTCTGGAACTGAAGTTATTAGTGGTTATGAGCTGCTGTGTGGGTGCTGGGAACTGAACTTAGGTCCTCTTCAAAAGCAACAAGTGCTCTTAATTGCTTAGCCATCTCTCGAGCCCCACTAATCCAGTTTTTAATGATGGATCAAAGTAAAAGGAACAGATGGCTTCTTACAGGAAAGTTATCCATACTTACGCTATTCTGTCTATATAGATTAGAAAAAGTCATGTTTTTTAATATTAATATTAATCTTTCACTGGTTTCATATCTTTCCCATCTATTGTTTCTACCAACCCCCTTAAGTTTTTCTGCCATTACCTAAAAAACCAAAATGGTCTTCACATGTTTTTCAATATGAAGATTGTGTATCTCTAGAGCAGTGGTTTTCAACCTGTGGGTCGATCCCTTTGGAATTAAATGACCCTTTCACAGGTGTTATCTAAGACCATCCGAAAACACAGATATCTACATTACCATTCATTACAGTAGCAAAATTACAGTTATGAAGTAGCAATGAAAATAATGTTACAGTTGGGGGGTACAGCATTTGGAAGGTTGAGAACCACTGCTCTAGAACTTTTATCTTTGTTTACTTGTTGATCTTTTGAATGTTCTTAGTTATAGATGAGCCTGCCGTGGGATTGGGGTCAATAAATATGTCTCAAGGTCCTGCTGTGTGACAAGCATTTACTTGGGTGTTTGTTGTGTTTGTTGTAGACCAGTGAGCAAAGTAGCCATAGAAGCCTACCTTCCCTCATCAAACTTCATTCTAGTTGAGGGAGTTATGCAAGAAAGTAATGGCACTCAAGTACATCAGATAGTATAGAAGAGAATGTGTTAAGTACCACATTAAAAAAGGAAAACATTTGTTTTCCATGAAAATGATCTAAGAGTGTATGAATGATGAATATCCCTAGTTGCAGTTTTCAGTGGTACTCTGATAGATCTTTTTGAGGAGGGGAAATGACATAGTCCAAGCAGAAGGAAAAATAGTGTAAATGCTGTGAACGATGCACATATATGGAGTGTGTAGAAACTCTCCAGGAGACCAATGTGGATAGAGAAAATGAAGAAAGGTCAGAAAGTACATCACGAACACAAGGTAAAAGAAATAGCATAATGTGGGGTCACATAAGGTTTTGTATGCAATCATAAGGACTCTTGATATTTAGAAACATAATGAAGAAGTGTTGGGAGATTTGGCCAGAGAACTAACTTGATTGGGCTGGCCTATTGGAAGATTCTCTCCTGTGCAGTATTAAGAATGAACTCTACAGCAATGGTAGTACATTTATGACAACCTATAAGATTGCTTCAATATTCCAAGAGAAAAGTTGTCACATCTGTATGAGTACTGTTGGAGGGATGAAATGGCAGATTCTGGAAGCATTTTGAATGTAGAGCTAATAGGATTTCCTGATGGATTAGATAAGAGGTGTGAAAAAAGTGAAGAACTACTGATGTCTCAAGGTTTAGATCTGAGTAATTAGAATGGTGCCATAGGTAGAATGGGTTTGGGGGCAAGAATACAAGTTCAGTTTGAGAACCAGTTGAGATGGCAATTAGATATTAAGTGAAGATGGGTATGGCATGTATTGAGGGTATTCAGGAGACAGCTCTAAACTGGAGATGTAACTTTGGAAGTTATCAGCATGTAGTTAGCATTTTAGTTCGTGGCACCAAATTGTACTAAAGCTTTCAGACTGTGTTAGATTACCAAGGATCAATCGATGTCAAGAAGTACACGAATAAACCTTGGGACATCCCAAATTAAGAGTTTGGATGAAAGAAAAGGAACCACTACAGGAGGATGATGTGTGTCAGACAAGGAGATAGAATTGATATAAAGCTAAGAAAATGCATAATGCTTTAAACCAAGTGAATTGAGTGTCAGAAAGAAGTTGCTGATAAGTAAAATTAGGGGGACTAAGGATTATATTTGGCATTGTGTATATGATTGTTAATTTTTGTAGGAGCAATATAGGTAACATAGCCCTTTACCAATAGAAATGGACTTAAATGAAATAAGAAGGGGCAGGAGATATGACTTACTGCCATACTTCAGGCCTTGGGTGCTACCCTCAGCATGGGGAAGACAGCAGGAAAGGACAATGGGGGAATTTAATGCAGTGCAAATAGCTAACATTGGGCTGTATGCCAAAAACATTAAAAGACCTGCATACTAAATCTAGGAATTTATAGTTTGTTTTGGGACAATGGGAATAAACACATTTTAAGACAACCAGCCGAGAGTACAAGATTGTATAGTGCTAAATTGCTAAATGTGACATGGATGATGCAAGATATGAGTAGTTGGTCACCTGGGAGGGTGGAGACTATGATCAGAAGTGTTCAGACATTTGATAATTGGCTTGTATGAAGGAAATATTTGAATATAGTTAGAAATTTCTTAAGATTTGCTCTGGGCACCATCTTGTCAGACTACCCTGATAGCATATTAATAATGCAGTTTTCTGCAAATATAAGCTCACTTTTGGGTCTACATCTCTGGTAGTGAGATTATTGATTCTGCATATGTAACAAGTTTTCTGGGTGACTTTTATGTACAGCAAATTTCATGAATGGATCAATTTTACTGAGTAGTTTTATATTACCAATTGATGAGCTATCCAGAATACTAGAATTAAGGAGGGGAATGAATGGCATATTCAAATATTCCCAGTGAATATATGCACTTATAAACTTAAGTTCTAGGAAGTTAAATTTAAAATACTATTCATTTAGACTTAGATTAGACCTTATTCAATTGTTTGTTGATGTTTTAGGCATCTTTGACATTCATTATGACTCTAGTTAAGGAGGGGACTGTTGAGTATTTCTTACCTGTGAGTTCAGTTAGGTACCACAAAAGGTAATTGGTAGAGTATAGCTGGCCCAAATAGTCTATAAAATCCATTTGAAGCCTTGGAACTAGAGATGTAGCAAAACCCAAATTGTATCCCCACTGGTGGCATTGCCCAGATTATCCTTGGTTGAGCTTTACAAACTATTGTGCTCTGTCTCACATGAGGCCTCAAGTTGGCAATCTTGTTGCTATTCTTTCCTAGCCCACCTTCCAATATAATGCAGGAAGGAGTGTGGAGAAGAGCACTTTATGCTTCTTCAAATTAGAAATGCTTTGTTGTGGTTTGTATCACGGTGAACACAAAGAATGGATTTCAGGATAGGAGAATCTGTAAGTCACAAGGAAGTGAAGATGGGCAAGCAGACACAAGGGTAATGGTTTTGATTATCAGAGACCTCCCCAAGGGCTTACCATTTATTGGAGGGCTGGCTTTCACTGGCTAATAACTGAAGCTGTGCTTTTACTGAGCAATCACAAGTTACTTAGTTCACTGTGCATGCAACCAACTTTGGAAACTATTTTCTTTTATTTTAGAGGTAGGGTCTCACTGTGTAGCCCAGGCTGCCTTCAGACTCATGAACTCGGCCTTCCCATTGCTGGGCCTATAGGTGTGTGTTACCATTGCTTACCTGAGAAAAATCTTAATTTTATTTGATTACATATTTAACCACCAATTTTATTTATGTAGCTCTAAGTATATCATCTCTATTTTATGAGTGAAACTTTCTGCAAATATTTAGTGTAATACTTTATAATGTAAAAAGTGTTACAGCATTTAACAGTTAATAAGACAGGATTCTCCTATGAAAACAGACATGAAATGACTACATACAAATAATAAGTGTTTTAAAATGGAGAAATGATCATGATGTTTATGAAGGGGAAATGTTATTGTTTTCCTTGAAAGGAGTTGAGAATGATTTTAGAGAGATGGAGTGATAGAGAGGGATATATGTTAGTTGCAAGGCAGAAAATCCTGGACTTGAGACAGGTGTCCCAGGAGTCCAATAGAGTATGTCGTCTGGGTTGTCTCAGGACATTGTGCTAAGTGTTTTTCCTGTAGCTGACAGAATTACTGTGTTTGTGGACCAGCTTCATGATCAGAGAAGAGCTGATTAATTTGCCTACATTGAGCAGGTGTTTATGAATTTTTGGTTGTGTACATGTTCGTGAGGGTTTATGTCTGTGTAGTCACACATGGAGGCCGGAGATCAACCTTGGTACTTTCCAGAAGCCACCTAACTTGTTTTTAAAGATATGGTCTCTCTTTGGCCTAAGAATTAGGCTTAGATGGCTGGCCAGTGTGCTCCGAAGAACTGCCCCATCTCTTCCCTCCCAATGCTGTGTGATCTCATGCATGTGTCTCCAGGCCTGATTGTCACTATATTTCTCAGACAAATAAAGAACAGGGAAGATTTTAATCTACTGAGAAAAATCCTTCAATGTTTAGATTTAGAATGTTAGTGATAAGACTGTTTAGAAAAGCATAAACTTCTATATTAAAGCCATGTTACACCTTTTGCAATATATATGATGCATAAAGGATTGCTTGTATAAATGCTCTAACTCTTGTGTCTCTTCTATGCAGCTATGGAAACATAAGTAACATACTCCGGTATTTTGGAAAACTAATCACACACGAATGTGCTGATGTGGACAGGATGTTTGTTATTGCATTTTATCTCAGTGATGACACACTTTCAGTGTTTGAACCTATAGAGAGGAATTCAGGTAAGAGGCTTATCTTGCTCAGCATTTTCCTCCAAACTCTTAACTGCCTTTTCCTTTTGAAATTAGAGAGTATAATCTGATTTGATAATCTAGAAGACATAAGATGATAATTTTCTAACCAATACATTTATTCTTATAACAATTCCTTAGTGTGAACCCAAATATACAAAACGATAAAAAAAAGAACAACTGTGGTCAGTTATCCATGGAAATTCCCTTTGCCACTATCATTTCTTTTTCTGAGGCACTTCTATGGAAGGTACCTCAGGGCTTCAAAGTCATGGTTTGATTACCACCAGTCACACTCACAGCCAGAGAGCCAAGAGAATGTTCCATTGTCCCACTTACAAAATCTTTGCTTGGTTAAGAAAAGGATACAATATATACAAATTTAATCTTCAGAATCCATCTTTCTGTGGTACTTCTGTTTGTTCTGGCTATTGCCAAAGGTCCTGCCCCCAGGCCTGTGGAATGTTCTCCAGTGTGTTGATCTCATGGCTATTGCTGAGGACAGATATTGAGTTACAAATTTGGAAATATAGGGCTCTGGTTTTTTTTTTTTTGTTTCAACATATTTATAACCTTTTTATGTGCTGAAGACATATGTTTGAGAAGAATAACCAGCTCAATCAGCTCTTTGGGAAAAAAAGCAAAAAGGCTAGTTTCAAGAAACCAACAAATTAAAAAAAAAACAGCATGCAAAAGTCTGAAAATGTAAGAGTCAGGTCATATACCTGAGCTTCTTTAGCCACTTAGCATGCTGATGAATAATGAATACTTCGTACAACTAAGTCAGGCCCCAGTGTGATTTGAATAATAGAAAAATCTTAAAATATGATAATAAATAAGGATGAGCATATGGTATGCTCTGAATGGTCACAAATATCAATTCTGTACACTTAGACAATTTGCAGCATTTGTAGAATAGAAAGCATACAAATCAATGAGGACTGACTATCATCCTTCAGTTTCATGGCAGATTGGGTCCACTAAAAAGAAGAAAATTCAAAGACATGGTTAGTGTGGAAGAGATTTGTTTAAACACAACAAAAACAAACAAACAAAACATCAACAAAAACATGGAAGGAACCAGAGGAAGCTCTGAGAACCATCTGATTCAGTAGGCTCTTTCTCTCCCACTTCCACTCCCACGGCTCCCTCAGTCTCTTCTCCCTTTTCTTTCTCTATAACTCACTGTATAGCTCAGGCAGGGACTAAAACTTATTATCTTCCACTTCAGCCTCTCGAATGTTAGAATTATACATGTCTAATACCACATTGGCTATAGTAGTTTCTAACTCCTATGAAGGACAGAAGAAAGGGGCAGAAAGTGGTAAGTCTTAGACCTTAGTGGACTTTTAAGGAAGACATACATATCCAAAGCTGGCAATTGTCTATGTAGGAATGGAACAGTCTCAGTAACCTCACCTTGAACTTTCATTTGTTAGCAGCAGCCTGTAGCAGCTAGGGCCTTCTTATGGTAATGTTCCCCATAGTAGGATGTGATCTGAGAGTAAATTTTCACAACTCCCCCCACATACACATCCTAAAATTCAGATTTTACCAATGCCAACTCTAGAAGTTTGGAGAGTTTAAAGAAGACTTCAAGAGTATGCAATAGGCAACTGGCAAAGCCAGTATAAAATGTGGCTCAATTTGGCTCCAAAGCCTGTCTTTCGGCCACTTTGCCTGTCTGATCTCATCTGGTCTACATTATAGTCATAAGTCTGTAGATTTCAGTTCCATGTCAAAAGATGCTGGAATGTCCTGTTCAACTCTGGTTTCTGTTTCCCAAGAAGGAAGAAACAAAAACAAACAAAAACAAAAAGCAAAACAAAAAAGCAAACATCAGGTAATGATGTCCAAAAGATAATTCTGGGAAGTAAGCAGCATGAAAGCATCACTAAAAAAGCAAAGATGTTTTACTTCAGTGTAAGGGGGAAACTCAAAGAGACCCCATACTTACTTTCTAACATGTAAATATCTGAACCTTGTCTTAGAAGTCAGGTATCTTACCCTTAATCTAAATGTCAGGTTAAGTGTGAGGCAGATCTGTGGAAATAATCTAAGACATGTGTTTCCTTCAACCCTTAGAAAAAAGGAACTTGATGGTATCCCATAGTCCCAGAAGGCCCTTGGTAAATGTATTCTTGAATTAGGGAGAAAGAGCTAAAAAAAAAAAAATACTACTTTTTTCTTTAACCCAGAAAGTCCTTGTGCCTTAAAAACCTACCAAGTAATAGGTTCATTTTCATAGTGCATGTAATATATTTTGATAATATCCATTTTCTATGTTAACTTCTCTTATAACTTCTTTCTTTAATTTAATATCCTTTCCTCCTAGATTAAACTTTGAGTGTGGTTTATTTGGTTTCACATGATGGTTCCTGCAAATGACATGATTTTATTCTTTATGGCTAGATGAAACTCTATTGTGTGTATGAGATGTATTTTATTCATCTATTCATCCATTGATGACTACCTGTGGCTGATTCCATAACTTGGCCTTTGTGACATGACATGTAGGAATATACAGCTATTTTTGTAGTAATCTGCCTTTGAGCCTTGAAGATCTATGCTCAGGCTTCTTATACAACTAGTTGATGTGCAAGTTCTATTTTTAATTTCTTGAGGAATTATACTTTTTGCAGTTGTTATATAATTTACATTCTCTCCAATGGCTTTTACGAGTTACCCAAGAAAAAATGTCATTTCTTTGCCCACTGCCCCATTCTTCCCTCCCACAATGTACAGTATGGCTTTACAGATAATTTGTACAGTCTGTGTTGGAAGAGAAAATAACTAAAGGCAAGTTATGGTTCTTGTAAGAACGAAGCAACTCATGGACTCTCTCTCTCTCTCTCTCTCTCTCTCTCTCTCTCTCTCTCTCTCTCTCTCTCTCATGTTTCTTTAGGGAATGCTGGTGGGATGTTCTTGAAAAGAAGTCGTGTGAAAAAGCCTGGACAAGAAGTCTTTAAAAGTGAATTTTCAGAATACATCAAGGCTGAGGAGCTCTACATTGGAGCCACAGTGAATGTGAATGGCTACCTGTTTCTTCTACTTAATGCTGATGAGTACACCTTAAAGTACATGGAGAATAACACAGACAAGGTGAATATACTATATAGAAGGCTTTCCACCTTCTACAGTATAGTCTGTGTTTTCCTTCCTTTAGGACATTTTCTTCTGCATTTTGCCACTGGTTTACATTGCACATTCATATATGTGGGCATGAATAATGGATCTGTGTGACTTGGCCACAGGTCTCATCACAAAGGCCTGACCCTTGTCTCCTCTATTTCTTTATTTACACGCTTAGCTCTCTGCTGCACAGCATCAAAGATTCCAGACACTGGTAGGAGGCAAGGCTAGAGTGTATCAAGTTTCCTTTTTTTTTTTTTTTTTTTTTTTTTTTGATGACACCAACAATTTTTTTTAGAAGGCAATGAAATAACTATAGAAAAGGAAGAAAATCTGATGGTACACACTGTGCCATCCCAATTAATTGGCACAGGGCAGCAAAGGAGGCTATGCCTATAACAGACAAAAACCTCAAGGGATCTGGGTAGTTGCTGAGGTTGCTGGTACCCTAATCAGTGACACCTGAGGCTGAAATTAGAATAGAAGGAGAAATTTGCTGCAGTGAGCTCAGGGAAGTATCTTCTTGTGTTTTATTTCTTGAATTAATTTTGTTTTTGGACCATGTAGCCAGATAGCCTAGGCTAGTTTTAAACTCAACTGTCCTCATGCCTTTCTCTTCCCTGAGTGTTGAGATTACAGTTTTGTACCACCACACCCAGCCTCAGTTTCTTTGTTTAATTTAAAATACTGCAATGGCAAATGTTTGCTGTTACTAAAAATGCTATGCTGAAAATATTGTTCAGTAAAAATACCATGAATAAATTCTTAGGTTTTAATTGTAGGCTTACTTGTTCAGCATATACACTATTTGTACTTGGAATTCATTGCTTGTAATTTTGAAAAAGAAATCTGTCTGGAAATTTTTTTATTTTATAGTTCATGAAATAATTATGCACTATTTATACTCATATAGTGCATCTTTATGTCCTTTATAAAGGAAATGCTCAAGGTTGAGTTGCTAGGTGCCAAGACAGAGTTAGACCCATGGCAGGTATATTAGAGGAAGGACCTCTGTGGGACAAAAGGAGAAGGATCAAGACAACACATGGGATGCCTGTTACCTTCAGAGTGCTGTGCACATCAGGTCTCATCCCTGGGAAATGAGAAAGCAAGCAAGGAGGGGCGGGGAGGAAGAACTTTAAGTAGTTAGCACTGGGTTGGAGAGATAGCATAGAGGTTAAGAGCTTTGGATATTTTCCCAGAGGTCCTGAGTTCAATTCCCAGCAACCACATGGTGACTCATAACTATTTGTAATGAGATCTGAGGCCCTCTTTCGGTGTACAGGGTTACATGCAGACAAAACACTAGATGCATAGGAAATAAATCTTAAAAACAAAACAAAACTAGTTAGTACAGTTTGGAGAAGTCTTAGTCAGGCAGATGATGATCTCAGAGCAGTGTGCATGAGTTCAGCCATGGAGAAATGACAGTTGAAGGCAAGTGGTTCACAATGATCTTCTCAGTATCTCTTTTGAGTGTAGCAGCTTCTATCATCACTACACCACCTCTGTGTTTACAGTTTTAGAAACCTAGGTTATTCTAAATCTAAAAACTACACTAAATATCAACTCTAAATTCACTCAAGAAACATGATGATTAATCATTTAGATTTCCAGAGACCACCAGGCCTGGTTTGGAAACTGGGCTCCACATGACAGGCTTTAGTTATGTATGATCTCTGAGCTTCAGTCTCCTTGCCTTTGAAGTAAGAGTAACAATAGTGCTGGTTTGATAAAGTTGCTGTAGGGGTTAAATGTGATAATTTGTGTGGGGGACTTAGCCCTGTAGGACCCATGGCAAACTTAGTCATTGTAGCTGTTATAAGCTAAAGTTATGGTTCTGAACAGAACCTCTCCCTTAACATAAAACATACAGATCTTAACTTAGAATTGCTTGGCATGGTATATTTAACTTCACTGGCATGCAAAAGTGATTTCCTTTCTAATAGAAACTTTAAAATTTGGAGCTTTGATCCCCTTCTACCCCAGGCTAGTACGTACTGTATAGTCCAATTTCCATACATGATATTGGACATCAGCAGTGAGCTGTAGACCTCAGTCAGCACTACTCTAGAGTGCTCTATTGCTAACCTTGAGATATTCTGTAAATTAGTTACATTTTCAACTTACAGAAAGTTTATTAACACAAAAAATCACTATAAATTGAAGATTATCTGTATATATTAAACAATGCATGTGCCTTTTGCTTTGTTTTGTTTGCAGTGATAGCAATTGAACCCAGGACCTTGAACTTGCTAGACGAGTACTTTTCCATTCAGTTACACATCCAGTCAAAACATAGTACATAGTTTTAATGTATAAAAGGTTTTTCTTCTTTTAGTATGATAAAGCAGGATAAGACTTTACCTAGTATCAGCATCTCAAGTGAAAACTGAATTAGTTAAAAAAAAATGCTCTTAACAAGGAAATTGTAAGACGGTAAAGATTAATATACTTCTTATTACCAATCTCAGTAGTCTTTTCAAAGGAGCTAATAGATGCTGTCATGGAAATACATGAAAGGAAATGCAAAAAAGGAAGGGGGCGCAGTAGGTGCCAAACCACCTGGATCATTTGATGGTGGAACAGTGGCAGCTTTGTACCAAAATATCATCAGTGTTTTTATTCTAAATTTTCATCTTCTCACTTTTGATCTCTTGGCTGTAATTATTTACAACGTTTTACTTTACTGGATTGAATATGAAGTATTCTTTCTAAGTAAAAAAAAAAAAAAAAAAAACAACTAAGCAAGCAAGCAAACAAACAAAAAACTAATCAGAAAGTAGGAGGTAGAAACAGTGGGCTGCCCACACAACAAATGTATGTGGGTTACAGTGCTTTTGTAGAACTTTGACACCCAGCTTTGCTATGATCAGTGCTTTGCAATCAGCAATTCCGGGGGGAGGGGGCGTCCATCCTAATGACATATAGAAAGTAAATTTTGAAAAATCTAAATCTTTATTCTTTCCATCAGTATCTGCTAAAATATCAGGGCTGTGTGTAAGAGTAACAAGAAGGATAATATTGTTTAGTAAGCTTTGCTACCTGCTATCCCTTAAGTTTAATTGTTTGAGATCTAGGACCTTGTCCTAAATCTTTCATTCAAAAGATAAAAAGGCTAGTCATTTCTTCTGCAGATATGTTTCTAAGTAAAGACATGTATAGCTTACTTTGGGTTCATCATGAAGACTTGTTGGTTCCCATTACTCTCTTAAATACAAGGAATAAGAAATGGCAGAATGCTCAGCTCTGAATGGAACATACATACCACATTGTGGAAGAAGGAGGCAGAAAGATTGTATGAGCCAGCTAGAGGCAGTGGATAACTGGGAATGAGTATCTTCCAGGCACATCAGAGCAGCTGCATAGATAGCATGCATAAGACCAAATTCCAGCATGGAAGGTATAATTGAGCATAAAATCCCATGACTGACCCTGTAACTGTTGATAATTGTTAGCTGCTAATAGAAGGAGAACCAGTCTTCTTTAAGAGCTTAGTCTCTGGTAAGTCAACCACACTCCAGTCAGTGTAAGGCCACACATCTGAAAATATATGGGAATCACCAATTGGTCCTAATGGGTTAGCCACAGGAAAAATAAAGGGAAGACAGGGGGACTTAAGAAGAACTGGGGAAGAGGTGAATGTGATTAAACCATAGCCTATGAAATTCTCAAAGAACTGATAATAAGAATGATGGTGATGATGATGGCTTCCTGAAGTCTCATGCATTTATCTTGTTTTTACTCCTTCAAGTTTCCGTATAGCAACTTTGAACTTGCCATACAAAAACTGAAACAAGAAAAATCTAAATTAAGAGAGATCACACAGGTATTTTCCGCTGCTGACAGTAATCACACAAAGGTGGTACCTTATAATACATTCAGGTAAGCTGTATTCTTCTAGCATTAATCTGTTTTCCCAAAGAATAGAAAGAACCATTTTATTCCTAGTACTTCTCAATCAGTTGGTTACATAGATTTTTATTAGGAATTAGCATTTCTTTGACTTTGTTCTACTTTGTATCCAAGGTTTGGCTATGCTGTCTAATAAGTTTTATGTAATTATATATGCGATGTTTAGAGGTAGGGATGGGACAAAAGCCAGTGCTCATAATCAGAGAAAAGGTCATATGAGTGCTGTTGTTCTTTTGCTGCAGCTAATGCCTATAAAACACAAACATGAGACTCAGCGCCCACGTGGAATTTATTGAGAGAAGGGAGAGAAAGAGGGGGTAGCTGGTGGCCAACCAAAAGCAGGAGAGAGAGAGAAAGAGCAAGAGGGGGCAGAGAGAGAGAGAGAGCAAGAGAGAGACCAGAGAGAGCAAGAGAGAACGGCACGCTTGGCGCACGTGCCATCAAAAGAACAAGTACTTTGGTGTCTGAATGTTTGTGTGCATCTGCATTCTGAAAAGCAAAAGACAGGAATCAAAGACTTTGTCTACTTTTCCCATCATGTCATATACAATAATAGTGAGAAGCATCACATAAAATTATGAGTGATATTTTTCTCAAAGGTAAAGTTGAATTCTAGGCCTTCTCAGTAGTTGACCTAGGCAAATTTCCAAAGAACAGAAACAGGGAAACTAAAGTTCAGGGTCTAGTGCAATTGTGAGAACTCTGCCTGAAAACAAAGTGAATGGCATATTTAGGGGAATATAAATTAAATCATGGATGGAGGACAAAAGGGACTTTCTCTTTAGCCCAAGAAGTCTGGCTTCTGAAAAGAATAGTAGTTAAAAGCTATATAGTATATTGGGCTTGATGTAGTCAAGATGTAGGTTGGAGAGTGGTAATGGGGACTTTCCAAATTTGTACTTACAGTTGCCTGTTGGCATCCCCACCTGGTAACCTGGGCCCATGATGAGTTTTTCAGGAGTTCATTTGTTGTTACAATGGCTCTTGTGTCTTCAAAGTGTTCTTTTGGGGAGGAACGGGCAGAGGACATACTTTTATTGTTAGAATTGCCACATTTCTGGGACCAATAAGAATTTACACTTCTTTGTTATTATGCATCATCATGTACATATGTTTGTGTTGTTCTGGAATATAAATGGAGATGGGGTAAACAACAAAGATAATTACTCAGTGAACTAACAGGAAGCACTGGGGGAGAAAACAAGACATTTTCATCAGAAGTGAGGGAGTGGTTTTGGTTCATTATTTTGTGTCCTTTTATAAAAGCATTGGTACTCCCAGCACTCTCACAAAGACTATTGGAAATATGTTAGTTAGTTCACACAGCCTTTTGGTAAGCACTTTGGCCAGGAATAATATCCTGGCCTAATTGTATCACCCTAATTGTAGATGTAATAAAGGGCACATTGCACAGTGTGGTTGGAATATGGCTGCCAGGCACCATGTGTGAGCTTACAGAAAATAAACAATCAAGCAAACCAACCTCCCCATCTTAGAAATTCCATAGCACCAAACCTCAGATTACCATTGGGTTGAAAAAGTCTTCACCAGTTGCTTGGCTTGACTGTAAGCAACAGGGCCTTGAGTGATGGGTGTGTTTCTACTTCCATGCCATCACTTCTTTTTTCTCCCACCCTATCTTTTGGTCCCACTAGGTACCTTTCAGTTTTACAAACACATCAAGTTCTTCCCTGCTTCTATGCTTATACACACAGTTCTCTCTTCCTGGAAGGCCTTTACCACTATCCTTTCCAGGGAAAATTCTAGGAGTTTTTATTACCAGAGTATTTGTTTCTGTCTGACAACCCTAAGTAAATACCCCCTGTTATTCTTAGACCTTTGTTTATATTTCTTCATAGCATACTAACACAGTTTGTAATTGTTTTACTTGTTTACTTGGAGGAGTGACGATGTGATGATGTGTGTGTGTGTGTACTTGGGTGTTTTTTTTCTTCTAATAGAAAATATAAACTTTCTGAGGGTAAGAACCCTGACGATCTTGTACACTGAAGTATCTCTGGGCTTCTCGTGCTAAGCTGGATATAGACATAGTCACTGAATGAAATGAGCCACTAGGATCATTCCTGAATGTTCTAGTTTGGAGGTGGCTGCATGATCCGTATAGTAGTCAATTTTCCATTGCTACAACATAATACCTGATGCTGAGTAATATATGAACAAAAGAGATTTATTTAGCTTCCCCATTTTTGAGGTTCAAGGTCACAGCCTCAGTATCAGCTCTACTCTGGTAAAGACTGTTGTGGCAGAAGGCATTGTGGTGGGAATTCATGTAAGACAGTAGAGAAACAACCCCCTTAAAAGATCTCATGAGAAATCCGTGAAAACTATATTCATCTATTTCCTCAGACAGTATCATCAATGACCTAACCACTTCCTGTTAGGCCTCATCTCTTAAGGATTCTTATTACCTCTCACTTGGAGAAGGATCAAACTTTCAACATGGAGGAAATTGCATCTAATCAATGGCAGTTTCCAAATCAAGCATAGACTTGGAGTCAAGATGTCCTGGTCCATGTTACATCTTCAGATTAGACACATTTCCAGCAGTCCTTGGTTTACAGTACTTGGCTATCAGTACTTGGTGTCTGCATATCTTCATCAGTTTCTTCTTTTGCTTCTCACATCCTAGCCTGGGCAATAATAAAGGAACTCTATAGCCAGTCATTTTCATATCACATCTTAATTTAATGTTTTGTTCCATGCTTTTACTAGATAGTATTTTTTGTGTCTATATATTTGTATATATTCAGGATCCTCTCTCTTATAGTTAACCCCATGGAGAGTAAGACCTTTGCTTTCTTGCCTTCAATTTTAGCCATGCCATTTGTTGTAAATAATGAGTTCATAAATGGTAACTGGCTGCCTTTTATCTAGCCATGATTACTTTGGTTCTGACATAAAGATGTTTCAGCTGGCATCTCTATATTAATTCCTCAAACTTATTGTTCTGTTAAAGTATAGAGACCTGGAAATAGTATCTTTGGACCCTTTCCCCATTGGATGTCCCTTAGGCATCTGCAGAAGCCTGTGGAAGAGGAACTGTAAGCTGGCTTGTGGGTACTGGGAACTGAACCCAGATCTTCTATAACAGCAGTAAGTACTCTTAACTACTCAGCCACTACAGCCCCTTGACCTCAACATTTTTCTCCAGTTAAATTGTAGTCAAGGACTATATTATAATATAGGTCACCTTATGTGTCCTAGGACCAAGCGAGGAGCCTCACTTCTTGTGTCTTTCTCCATCAAATCCCACCCATCTTTGAGAATGTATTTCTTCCTCTCTAGAAATGTGACCTACCTTCTATCTGCAATCCCACTGTTGCTGTTAAGCTTTCCTCCATTGTCCTGAAGTTTGGAGGACTGAGTAAGTGATCTTCCATTTTTTTTCCACCACTATACTAACAAGGAGTGATCCTCCCATTTTAAAGTTTTCCCAAGTGATCCTCTTAAAATCTGATGAGGTCATTCCTCTCTTTAAAGCCTGCTTAACTCCCTGTTGTCTCTGGGACAATCTTAGCCACTCAGTGTAACATGTGAGTTTGGTCACAGAATGTTCCTTGCCTAGCACTTTATTTCCAAATTGTTAGTACAAACTTCTCTAGAAGCCAGAACTTACTGAGTATTTAATTTGGGCTAATAGGTGTGCTGAAATGTTTTCAATTTAATTTGTATTTGGTGGTCCCTGTTGTTCCTTATTTAATTTCCTCCATCCACATTCCTGCCAAGTACAATAGGTGTTTGCTGAATAATTTAATGAATGATTCAATGTCTATATCAGTGTTCATTCTAAAGCTTGCTGAAGACAGATAAATAAGTGACATCATGGAAGGGCCATCTGTCTCTGGCTTATTGAAGACAGGGAAAGCTAGGCCTAGCCCTCACCAGAAAAGCATCTTCCTTATAGCTTCACTTGCATCTATACTTTGGTCTCTAAGGTTCTTTCTGTACTTTGCCATTCTGAAACTCTTACATTGTAGGTTTACAATGAACTTGTCAAATGCCCCCTTCTCTGGTTCATATATAGAAATGGTAGAACAGAATAGAGACTTCTAGGCTTCAATTATGTAGCCCCTGTACTCTGGCATAGAGCCCTACTTGCTATGTACTTGGGACCTTAGGTCCCATACCTGTTGTATTGTCCAAGTTTTTTTTTTTCTTGTTCTCAAAAAACAAAACAAAAAAATTGGTTACAGAACTAATAAACTACAGCCTGAACTATGGTTGATTGTAGACTCAGTTAGAGGCCTCCCCCTGAAAATTTGTCTCAGTAGATATGTGATGGCATGTGGTGACAGGTCAAGAAGTCACAGGTAATACTTCTCTTCAAAAAAGTTTTCTTTTAGATATAGGCATTTTGCCAACACATATGTATGTGCACTATATGTGTATTTGGTGCCCCATGGAGTCAGGAAAAGATATCAAATCCCCTGGAACTATAGTTACAGGTGATTGTTAACCACCATTTGGGTTCTGGGAACTAAATCTGTGTCCTTTGCAAGAGCACTCAGTGCTCTTAACCACTGAGGCATCATGTTCTCTCTCTCTCTCTCTCTCTCTCTCTCTCTCTCTCTCTCTCTCTCTCTATTTCTCTCTCTCTCTCCACTCCTCCTTCCCTCCCTCCCCCCTCTCTCTAGGTGGTGGGCATTTCTCTTTTGCCCTATGGAAATAATCAATTCTGCCTCTACACTTGATCTGTTTCTCTGTGATCCTTTTTCTCTGAAAGACTCACCTGTAAGAGCTACTGATTGCTGTCAGAGAGCTATTCTCAGATGGAGGACAGATACCAGCAGGAAGCAGAGCCAGGCCTAGGCTTAGCAGGCATAGGATTTCATGTACTTGGGAACACAGGCAGGGTGAACACTTCCAGAGTGGCCTCAATACTCCCAAGCACAGGTGGAAGCGTCTGTAAGAGCTTTGTACCAGGGAAGGTACAGCTCATCTCTCTTGGC